CCGAGCGGCGAGCCCCGCTGGGCGCCTGGCGTGAGGTTGCCCTCCGTGAATCCCCAGGAGGGCGCCAGCCAAAGGCCCAGGTACTCCTCCGAGCGAAAGCTTCGACCGGTTTCGCCGGGGCCCGGTGCCGTTTCGCCCGTTTCGGTCGGTTTCGGTCCGGTTTCGCCCTGCCCCCACTGGGAGCTGGGGAGGAATTTGGGAGGTCTTGATGTGTGTGCTTGTCACAAGCGCACACACATGGACATCCCAAAGCTCTTACCCAGCTCCGGCGCTAATTGAGCATGACTTAAAAATAGGAGACCCAACAACATGGCTTCGGTGTTTTGTGTCCCTTTGGTTTCCTTTTCCGCCGTTCCCCCCGCGGAGGGCATCCCCAACCATAACCTCGCTCCGAACCACGCCAGCGCCCATCTGGGCCGATCGACCCCAATGCGTTCAGCTGCGGACCCCACAAAACGAGGACTGCATCGCTTTGTCGACCCTGGGCCAACTCGATTTGACAACTGTCCTCTCCTGAGTGGACGGGCAAACAAATGAACAACCGATGTGGTTGCTTGCCGCTGAAGTGGGAACGGGAGTGGGTGTCTGCCTTCGACGCCCGCACCTTGTCCCATACAAAGGGCGTCTGGACCACTTCAGGCCTCAGATCTTTTTCGGAGCGCGGCCGAGGCTCACCAAATTGCCATCGGAACATCGGGGCTCGCCAAACTCTCATGTAGATCCAAAAGAAGATCAGATCATTTGCAAAGATGTCCGGTTTTGGCACACAGCCACTCAGAGTTGTTATATAGAACCATACACCCCGATGCAAACCGGAAGCTTGTCTTGAAGCTCCTCTCTGCCATCTGGTCAGATTCGGCTTCTGCTTCTTGAGTGTCTTCGAAGTTCGATCCTTCTGCTCCACACAAAAATTGACAAGTTGCCCCCACGGCTTCAAGCAGCACCCAAGGGAAAGGCGTCAAATCGGCAGTCCCAAAGGTCAAACCAAAACAGGAGTCTGGGAATCTAGGGCTTCCTGGAAGCCATCTCTCGGTCTTGCGCACCCTTTGGGTTCTCACACACACACACACACACACGTTTCCGGCTTCAAGTCACACGAGACAAACCGATGTTGCCAGAGAAAACAAAACCGAAAATAATGAAATGGATGTGCCTTTGCTTCCGGAACCCCTTCTTGTTTGGGTGTTAAATTGAAACCGACAGGAAAACCCACGATTTCTGGCGGGCCCCTGAAAAATGAAAACACACCCATTGCCCATCCCCCCCTTGGCAGCGGACGTAGGCGCCGGCGTAGGCGCGGGCGTAGGCGGCACCTCAACCTGACCAAACCGTATGCGGAGTGTACCCATCGAACCACGTTTTGGGTTGGCATTTGGGTAGTTGTTGGGGCCCCTTGTTTGGTTGGTTATAAAGGAAATCAACAGCAACACCCATCAAACTTCTTGGAGTTTTGTTTGCTATAGGCCTCGAACAATTCCTGAACCATGTGGCAGCACCACCTACTCAATTTTGCAATCAGGGTTTTGGGTTTGGGTGCTGCTCAATCACGGATGACAAAATGTTGTCTTGATCGCACCATTGTCATGGGCTACCTTCAAGCAACCATCTTTTATTGTGCTCCCTTCTGGGCCATCCAACAATTGCATCGAAGTGTGTCAGAAGCGGAGGTGGTGAGGATCCCTGGTGGAAGTGTTCAGTGCCATGCTCGAAACTCCTCGGGCTGTGGAACCTTGCCAAAAGCCCAAGTGGGCTGATGACCATCCCAATTGCCCCAAGCAGCTTTTTTGTTTTCGCGTGTCTTTTTCACCATATGATACATGGACATCAGCTGTTCATGGTCTTTCCCTCCCGTTTTAAGTTCACGGGGGCCTTCCGACCCCTTGACCACCCCCGTCTCCGACTGTCCATGATGTCATCCGCTCTCGCAGTCTGCGGTGCCGAGTTGGAAAAGTCTGCGATGCCCATCCTCGCCGCTATTTTTTGCTCTCTGCGCATTCCTCACAGCCGACCACCCCTTAGAGGGAGCGGTTTCGAGGAAGGTGAAACGGCCTGGGAAAGGTTTCAGAGCTCGAGTCAAATACTTTTGGAAAAGCTCCGAATTCAGTACGTTGATGGTAACCTAGGTCATAACTTCATAACCCACTTGTAAGTCTTTCTAGGTGGGGCTAACTTTGTTAGGAGGTTATACCCCGATTGGCTAGCCACCTACTGGCCCAACATCCAAGTAGTCTTACACCACCCTTCTGTCAGCTTCCAGGATTGTTGGAGGGAGGGTACATAAAATGATGGCAAAATGGGAGGTTTTTTTGTTGGGGGTAAAGGTCCTTCGGGTCCAGGCCCAGTTTGCTTTTGCCCATTGAAGCTCCGAAGAAACTGTGGCTCCCATTTTTTTTCGCAGAGACATGGCAAGAACCTAGGAACCCCGCTTCATGTGGTTTGAATTCCCGAGCCAGCCAGCCAACCAACCAACCAACCAAGCAATCACACAACCAACCAACCAACCAACCAAACAACCAAACAACCAAACACAGTGTTGTTTAGTGGTTGAAGTTTAATCAAATCCAACTCCAAACCAAGGGGATTACTCGCAAGCTTCGGCTCCGAAGTCCCATTTGGCCCTCAGGGAAATCTGACTTTCCCCTGATCCGATCTGCGCCGGCCGAAAAACGGCTCCAAAAGCCTTGCACCACATGACGCGAAAGTGTGACCAGTTCAATCAGAATTCCGATGTCACAAAGAAAGAGTTCGAAACTTAAACTTATAGTTCTTGTCAACTGGCTGTTGTCAAAAATAGGTACTGGACCCTTCAAACTCCCTTAAGACATCGCGTCTGCCTCAAACTTATGGTTGGTGAATTCCCTTTTCTAGGAGTAGTTTGAGTGTCCAGGTCTACCCCAGGTTTCATTTGGCCCCCCGATGTGTTCACTTCGCCCGATTTTGTGCCTTAGATCTCTCGTGTCAAAGCTGCCCGGAAGCTCGGCCATTTTGTGCACGATCCCCCTTTTTGGTCGGTTTAGGAAACCAAACCCGGTAGATCCATTGACCTGTAGATAGCCAAGGGCTTGAAAAACCAGCCTTGAACAACCCAAAGCTACTCCGGACATCGCAACTTTGTGGGCCCCCTCCTGTGGATGGACACAAACCTGCACCAATTTGAAACCATGGGAAACCATTGGTTGGTATTTGCAGAGGCGTCGTGCCGGGGATCCTTTGGTGCGAAATGGATTTCGTCCATCCAAAGTAGAAAGGGAGTGATCCCCCCATTGGTGACTTCGGCTTGGTCCATGGATCGCTCGAGTCGCCGCCTTCCTTTCTTGGATTCTTGGGCAGAAGCCGGAAACCTTACTTCACAACCCTTGGCTTGGTAGCAGACTGCGCTGTTTTTGCAGCCCACGACTAAAAATGAACAGAAACAACAAAAACTGTTTGAACCGAAAGTCTGGCCGATTCGCTGCTTGCTCTCCCCAAGCTTCTGGTCGTGGTCAAAACTTCTGGTCATGGTGTTCCCAAAGAGCAGGACGCCCTACAACAAGGGGGGGCTGTCCGTACTGAGCTTTTTGAGGTTGGTATCAAGAGAAAACAAAGAAACACCGGGAAACCAAAAGGACCAACCATTTATGGGGGCCAAATCTCTATTTTGACAGATATCCCTGGCTTGGGCGATACTATGTCGAACCGGGAAAGATACGATCTAAAAACACAAAACGTGAAGTCTCGCCGATGACCGGACCGATGCGGAACTACATGGGCCACTGAAGAGGTGATATGTCCAACCCAACATCAACCCAAAGGCAACTCGCTAAAGATGGGCCGAAAGGTGTAGTTGTTTGTTCGATTTGCCAAGTAAGTTGTTGGTAACCTAGGATAGAACCAACATATACGGCACCTGTGCAGTGGGGTTAACCTTGTTGTTGGGGGGTTAGACCCCAATTGGCTAGTACCGTACCAACTTGGCCGAACATCCAAGAAATAAAAATACGCGGGGAAATCAAAGCAATGAGATACCCCCAGAAGACTTGGATTGCTTAGATGGAAGATCAACCCCAAGACCCGACAGCTCCTCTAGTTGAGTCGCAATAAAAACCTGGTATCTACCCGAATCGGTTTTGAGGACGTAGCTCAAATGACTATTGGTTGAGGCAAGCAACGCCCCAAATTCCAGGAGGTGCTTCGAGCCCTGCGCAAAAACTCAAAGGTTCCAGCCGGAAGACGTCTCTCCAGTGCTTTTGCCATTGCCTTTGGCCAAGTCAACGAGATCCGGGCGAACGGAAAGCACATGATGCAAAAACTCATGCTCTTCCAGAAATCACATGGCTGTGGCTCAAAACAACGGTACCAAAATGGAGCCCTGGTAAGTGGAAACATGGACCAAAAACCTGCGTAACCCCTCCTGGTCAATTTTGAGCCACACCCACATCCCAAACGTTTTGTGACATCCGATCCTTCGTTTCTTGGTTCTTCTCGCCCGGCCGAACCGGTTCGGCTCGCAACTCGGCCTTAAGGAGAAGATTTTCGGTGTTCCCTCCTGGAGGGTGCTACGGAATTTTTCGGGGCAGCCGCTCCACGCCCTTTGGCGGAGCAGAGCAGACGCCGAGCGCCACCGGGCTTTAGGGAATCGATGGAAACCTGACACCGTAGTTGGTAGCCGTTCGATCCATTTTCCGTGTTTTTTTGTTTCTTCTGTTTTTTTTTTTTTTTAATAATAAGGGTGGCAAGCCGTGTACATGCAAAATCTGGACATGGGTTTGCCGGGCTTGACTTGCGCCTCTGTGGCCCAATCCCATCCCCCCCTTTTCCCCACACGCCGAGGTGCACCTCGGATCGCGGATCCGATGGACATTTCTCTTCCGGGCAGATGCTCTGCGCGACTCGAGGCTGAATCTCCCTGTGGAAGCAGTGAAGTGCAGCTTCAGTGGTCAACCCAAGTGAGTCTATCACTTGGGGAAAACTTCGCTTCCATCCCTTGCCGTGCGAATTTCCAAGTAAATCCATGAATTTTCGGACCTTCGAAGTGTTCAAGTCGCGCGTCGCAGCTTTCTCAGGCGCTTTTGGTGGCGAAGGAGAGGAAGGAGGGCATGGGGAGCGAGTGGTGGCGAGGCTTCGGCAAGAAGCGATCGCGGCCGAATCGGAGAACCTCAGAGGAGCCTTCGTGCTCGAAGCCCAACTTCACCTGGCGCTGGGTGCTTGGTGCTTGGCGCTGGGTGCTTGGTGCTTGGTGCTTGGTGCTGCTTGCTGCTTGGTGGTGGGTGGTGGGTGGACGGGGTGGGCTCTGCCACGACGGTTGCTCGAGGCGAATGTCATAGATCCGCTTGGACAGGGCTTGCACCCCTTTCCTGAAATGAACAGCAACTCCCTTTGTCAAGGGCTGCTACACCAAAAAGGTGAGTAACCAGGTAAGGGTCCAGGTAGAGCATGAATGAGCTCACCTGCTAAAAAACGATTACAGAAAACACACACCCTGGATTGGCAAAATATCATTGGCCAACCCCATAGTAGCCGAAAGGAAAACAACCCGAGTTCTGACAAGCCAGTCAAAATGATGGGCTCGTTCTTCATACGGGTTAAATAGGAGAACCTCTAAAAAAATAAAATTTGGTGGGCGTGCTTTTGGTGCCCCTTGAAAACCACCCAAAAAGGGGCACCCTACGAAGACCAGCCACCCATCATTCCCTTCACCTTTACACATCACAACCACGTCTCCGTCCCCGCAAAACTGATTCAGATCTTGCATGTTTCGGGGTAGCCTGCTTCAGCTCAGTTTAATGGGAAACCAACAGAAAGAGCACATGTTGCAGGTACATTGGTGGGGAATTGACCGGGTGCTTCTAACCTCTCCGAACTACCAATCTAAATCATCTGTATTGTGTGTGTCTGTGCGTCTGTACGTCTGTCAAAACAGGCGACCCCAAGGTTTCCGCGGCACCGCCTCGAAAACAACTCACATCACCGGTTTCTATGAGAAGCTGAGACTCACAGCAGTCGCTTCCCCTTCGAGAGTTCCCGTTCCAGTACCTGGACCCTCGAACTATCCGCAAAAATGGGCTCTTGCCCTCAAAGGAAAGCTGCTTTCCCCCCCGTTTCTGGAGGGGTATGAGGGTCCAGGTCGCGGAATCTCCATTGAAACCATGGAAATGTCACTTTTCAAAGGTTCCAAAAAGGGAAGCTGCTGGGGGATCCATCTCCATCCACCTCCCCTCCCCATCTCCTCCCACCGATCCGATCCGAGCCGAGCCGATCGCCTGTCCGTCGTGCAAGCTGTTCCGCACCAACATGAACTGAGCACCTGAGAGACGGAGCCCAGCTCCAGCCCGACGTACCCGCCGGAAAATTGGCCACCATGGGTCACAAAACAACCAGCTACCCCACGAAAAAGAGACCGGGTGTTGGTGGGGATGTGATGTTAACATGAACATGCTACAAAACACTGCTTTACGGTGTTGTTATTTCTTCTGAAAAATGGGTTATTGCAACCCAATATGATTTGGCTGAGTTCACTTCTTCATGGCTAGCTTGTGAGTCCAGGTTGGCTCAAACACAGCCATACCCTGCATCGTTGAGAACTCCATTTCGCACTGTTCAGAAACCCCGGTTTCTGATTCGACTCCCCAAGGTAAATACCAAGCAACCTTCTGGTTTCGTTCCCTGGTTTCATTTCGGTGCGGGATCTGGGAATTTCGCAACCATCCACGGTAGGATTCAACTCCCCTCATGTAACCCCCCCCCCCATACCCCCCGGTTTCTAAGAAACTATCTCCAGGAAGTTTGCCCAAGCCCCAAACTTGGGCTTTAAACCGAGTTTCCCCCCCCTTCTCCCATGCGTTTTGTGGCTTTAACCCGAGTTGTTCCTCCCATTTCACCTGGGTTTTGTTGCTAGGTCCTCCAGTAGAGAGGTTAGAATAAGGGTACCAACTCTTTTTTCTGGACGTCTATTTTAGTAGGGGAACCCTCCCAAACCAAAAAAGGGGTGAGAAAGGGCGCCTAGCTGGGGACCTTGTTCTAAACCTGCTCCATCCTTGGGGTCTACCCAAAACAGAGGCCAGAGCTGACGCTTCGGGCACTGAAGCTGGTCATGGCGCCTCCGGCGGGGTCCAGAATTTCGCTGACCTCGAGCTCTTTCAGGACATCGATGCGCACCAGCACCGTCTTCTCCTCAAACGCAAATGCTGTGGCGCGTCTTTTTTGGCCGTCGCTAGCCTTTGCCGTTGGCTTTTGTCAAAGGGAAGCCAGAAAGAAAACATGCGCCGATTTTGGGACCCGTGTGACACATACAATGAAAACCCGCCTTCGATTTTGCCCGCCTTCATGCTCCAGTTGGGTGTGGCTCAACATTCAAGACCTAGGGTTACCTAGGGCTTCAAGAACCTGTAAAAATGTCGTACCCTGACTAAAACATCGTGCTTTTTCTCGATTTTATGAAAACATCATGTTTTCAGGAAAAACATCGTGTTTTTGATAAAACCCCTTAAAAATGGGCTTCTGAGGCCAAACGCTCATTTGGAGCAAAGGGTCAAAGGCAAGGGTCGGGAGTGGATTCACACAGACATCACCCATTAAGATTTCAACTGAGGGCAACGCTCTATACTGAGTATGCTTCAAATTCTAAGGACCACATTGATGAGCCTGACAGCCAGGGTGTGCAGCTGGCTTCAGTCTTGAAGTACCTTTCACAGCAACAGGCACCTGAAGACTGGCGCCAGGTCATACCGAACCAGTTTGAAGGGGGTGCTGGAATCCGAAAGCTCCTTTTGGTGCAAAACAAGACCAGGTGACACTTTTGAGATTGTTTTTTTAAATCAATTTTGAGTTTTTTTTTAGAAAATGGGGCGGGATCCTGGCGGCTAACCGCAGAAACTCGTAGAAAACCTGTAGAAACCCATAGAAAACCCGTAGAAACCCGTAGAAAGCCCGCAGCCCCAACCGAAAACATCGTGTTTTTGGAAAACATCGTGTTTTCTAACCCGTAGCTAAACCGTGGAGAACCCGTAGTAAAGCGTGGCAAAGCGTGGAAATTCTATGGGTTTTTCAGGTTCAACCACGAATGCGCTAATTCGAGAATGTTGCTGGAAAACACCGAAGTCGTGAGCAAAAGCGCGGTCTTTGCTTGAGCTTGCGCGCTGTTCGAAGCCAGCACGCCCTCATTATGGCATTGCTGCTTGACAAGTGTCATAAAACCGTGGTACTTTTGACTATTTGGGTCCCCGGCCTCCTTCTTTCAGATTGGAGTTGCGAAAGACGAGTGGCGAATGCGAAGCTGATTTCGTTACGAGTGCAAAAGGGGAGGGCGATGGGAGATTCTGAGGTTGAGATGATGCTTTTGAGATCTTTTGAGAACGGATGACGAGTTGAAGGAATGGGAATCTGCTTGAAATCGAAAATGCGGTGTTTCCCGAAAACATCGTGTGTTCCCAAAAAACATCGGGTATGACATTTTCATCGGTTTTTGAGGCTCCTGGTACGCAGGTTTTGGTCGCATTTTTCGGGTGCGCATTTTTGACCCACAGCCAGTTGGCTTCAGATGAATGGAAAACCTGGCTGACACCTCTTTCCCAAGGTGCACTCTTCTGTGGGAAAAGGCAAATCGTTGACGGCTGCTCATTGCCACCTGGAACAGCCGGAACTCGCGGCGAGGGAGAGTGGCAACCTTGCTTTCGGCTGATTTTCAAGATACGCCCACCCCCCAAATCGCCCATGTAAAGGAAGGAACCTGCCTGAAACCCGTGCCGCAAAACTGGCTAGAAAGGTCAAAACGGTTTAAAACCAAAGCCCTCTAGGGGCAACTCAGAAAAGCGGGAACGTGGGTAACCCAAGATATGCCAAAGGAACCAAGAGGTAACCAAGAGCAACCAAGTTCCTCAGCTTTTGTCCCCAGGTCGAGAAAAATACATGATTAAACATATTATTATTATTTGTTTTATTATTATTGTGTTTTTCCTGTTTTTTTTGTTTTTAAACATGTTTGAGTCTAGCCCCTTATAGTTGTGTCTCCTCTTGCTTTCTCATTGAAACCAGCCAAGAAGCTTGCTTGCTGTTGACCCCCTGCAAAAAGATTAACCTTTTTTTTGGGGGGTTTAGTGGAACACCCCTTGATTTCCCAAAAAGCAAAAGTCTAAAGATCCACCACAATAGCAGTCACGATACCCTATTACAAGCTATTTGGGTGAATCTTTAGACTGACAAAGCTTTTTGGAAGGATACCCGCCCGTTAAAAAAAAAAAACAAAAAACGAGGATTTCCACCGACTTCCACCGCGTTTGGGGCTCCGATCACCTGCCGAGGCTCCGCCTCGCGCTCGTTCAAGGGCCACAAGACCCGAGCCTTGCGCAGGACCTCCGCCAAGATCCTGATCGAAGAGGATGGATGAGTCTGAGGCCAAGCTAGTAAGTTGTTACTGGGCTGCCCGTTTTCTGATCCCCCGCTAAAAGTGACTCACTTTTAGTGGGTTAAATGGACACTACCACTAAACACAAAACGGCTAAGAAGCTGAGGGGATGGCTGGGAGCCACCAAGGTTCGTGACCGAAGTGGGGTTAACCTTGTTTCTAGGGTTGTACCACAAGTGACTAAGCACTTTCTACACACACACACACACTGGATGAGTCTTTGGCCAAGCCACGCTGCCTCAGAGAAACAGCCGGAAGCTCCCAGAAGGCACCTGCCACCCTGCTAATGGAACCAGGTCTTCCAAAGGGGTCCGTTCGGGAGCTTCCATGTTAGTCTGGGGGAGGCCAAGTTGTTCGTACCCACCAACTAACATGCCATCTGTCAAAACCCAAATCGGCTAGCCCCCAGTGAACATCCGATTCAATCCAACCACTAAAAGAGGTAACCCGAAATGGGAGGTGAATTCACCGAAAGCCCCCAAAATGGGATCCCAAAACGGTTTTGACCACCACAGCCACATGGAAGTGCCAAAAGGCGGTCTGTGCAAGAGGAAAGTCGTCTTTCTACAGTCTGTGCACAAACCCATGTTATAGCTGGTGGGGAAACCGAAGTGGTTGGTTCACCCTTCTTCCTGTTGTACCACAATGGACTAACCACAACCACAACCCCGAACATCCAAGCAGGTCTCAAAGGAGGGTCTGTGATACCTCACCAGTCTTGACTCCACTTTATTTCGGTGAGTGAGCAAGGTCCCCCATGAATGCTGGAACCCCTCCAAGGCAACCAGCGTCTGAAGATGCAACCACCGTACTACTCAGGCAGGTGGTGCGCATCTGTATATACATATATTGTGAATATTACGCATAATTACACGATGTCTCGGTAATTATGTGGTATCATGTTGCTTAGACCAAGAACCTCCATAGGTGTCCTTTTGCTAAACTTGATGGCACTGGTAAATGATTGAAAACCACCTGCACCCAGTGCCACCATCCATGTTCAACCAAACTGACCACGCAGAACCATGGGTGAAGTTCCTGAGTGGACTGGCCGAAGAAAATAGAGCCTCTAAACAATGGCAACCAAACAAAAAAAACAAGCGACAATCCAGTCCGAAACGGTTTTTCAGGGAGTGAGAGGTTGGAGTTGCACGATCTGGCCACATCATTTCTATCAAAGTTGCCCCCTATGACTCTCTCCTTCAGGTTTCTATTTTTTGACCACCCCAAGGTTGACTTAACCCCGGGTTGATGTCCCCAAAAGGGTTGGGTTTAAGTCTACCTTGTAGTCCAAGAATGGGTAACCCTGATTCCCTAAATCCTTCAAACAAGTGATTGAAGTTGATAACCCCCACGAATCCTCTAAAAACAAGTCTCTGACTTGGACAACCCCCCAAAAAACATCCGACCTCGGGGGGGCAAAAAAACCGGCCACCAGACCTGTCCTCTGGAGCACCTCCTCTCTTTTCGAGTCTCCCGGTCCTGAGAGCGCCGAGGGGGTCCTTCCTCCCAGCCTTCTGCATGAGCGCCGGCGCGTAGTACACGAGGATCGCCGGGCCCCTGGACTCCCTCGAGTCGTCGCAGAGGAAGTGCTGGCCCTGGCAGCCTGCGCTCGGTGTTACCGCGCGCGAAAGAAGAAGAAAAAAAAGACGGGGGGGGGGGGGGGGCGGGCGCTTTCTCGTGTTTTTTTCTTTTTCTCCTTTTTCCGGCGGGCGGCGCTTTCAGGTGTTTTTGTTTCTTTTCCTCTTTTTCCGGGGACCAAAGAAATCGGTGGGGTCAAAGTTACCGCATGGCTCGTCCTTGTTGGGAATTGCTTTTGGTTTTGGGGGGGGGAACCAAAATGGTTGTTGCATCCTCAAAGCTGCCTCAGGGGTGGTGGCTGGCTTTTTTTGTGGGATTTGGGCCCCACGAAATGGCTGCGGTTGTCCTTTTAGTTTCCCTTTCAACCCACCCCCCCACGTGGGATACCTCCCAAAAAAGGAACCACACAAAAACACCTCCTTGTGCTGAATTTGGATTAGCACTTTGGGGGCAGATCCAACCAACAGCGAAAGCGAACGCCCAATTTCCTGGCCGGGCCCCAATTCGAGCCAGGGTCGCCGAGTGCCCAGCCAGCCGCACGAGAAAACATGTCCAGTAGCGAAATCGCGTTCATCAAATCATGGGAAATATCGCAAAACAACTTAACATAAGCAAATGCAAACCTGGATGTGTATGAAGCACCCCAAGGCCCAAGCGAACTAGATGTCTTAAACAGCCTGGAATGCAGGCCACCTGCAAAGGTCTGCGCAGTTGCTTTGCGCTTGAAGATATATGACCGTGTCCGATAGAAGAAAGTGGAGCTTGACAAAACTGCGGGGGTCCTTTTGCTGCTCCCCCAACAACTGCCAAATGCACAAATTCCCTGATTTATGGATATTCATGGAAACCATGTGACGCCCAAAGGAAACGGAAGTCTTGGTCAAGTTGCTCACCCGTAGAATTCATCGTTTGTTGACTTCACTTGACTTCGCCGTATTGCTGGGTGGCCCTCGTTGAGAAACCCAGGTCAAAAGCACTCTTCTTTTGCTTGACGAGTGAAGTCTCCCCAAGTTCCCATCTCACTGCAACTTCGCTTAAGGAGAGTATATCAATATCGTTATACATATATATATATATATACATAATATATATATATATATATATATGTATATATTATGTACATGCATTGCACACCTATGCGGCATAACTGATTGGTACTCACCACTCGCACCGGAGCTGTGCCACTTGACTTGCCCACAAACAGATGATGTCCCCAAAATAATTTCATGGCATCCCCCAACAAATCGCAGGGGCCAGTTCGAGTGGGGCCACGCGTGGGGACCCGGTTGATTGGATCCCAGCACATCGACTCCAGTCAAGCCCTGCGATCGTTCCACAGCGCCTGTGATCGCCAGCTCCTGGCAAGGAGTCAGCGTGTGACAGCAAAGACCGCAAGAAAAAAATCGGGCGCGAAAGTGCCGGCGATTCCAAATCGGTTAGCCCGCAGTGAACATCCGATTCAATCCAACCATAGGTAACCTAAAATGGGTGGTGAATTCACCTATTTCAACACGGCGCCCAAAACGGTTTTGACCACAGCCCTTTGCTTCAAAGGGGCCCCCTGGCTTAGGCCTCCGCTTGTCCGAATGGGATGGACATCGGCTGGCTGTTCTGAGGGATATCAAGAAACTGGGCTGGTTTCCCTCAGGGACCCACTTAGGGAATTCGGGGGTGACTTTGGTAAAAGCACGGGGCCAGTCGCAATACTAAAGGTCAACAGGTTGCCGGGCCTGACTCTCGGCAACAAAACACCTGGGTGCTGGTCAACGGTCGACAACCCATGGCAGTGGAGTTGTAGCGTTCAACATCACCTTGCGGGACAACTTAAACTCGGATGTCCTCACTCCTGCTAACTAGGCTGGAATTAGGACCCCAGCAAAAAACAATCATCTTTGTTGCCTGGTGTGGAAAAAACAAAGGGGAGCCCAACAAAAAAAAGGGCAGCTAATTCTGGGGAAGCTAAAAGCTTGCAACTTTTCGTGGCTTAAAAAGGAGAAACCCACCCAAACCACCCAAAGCCTAGGCCAAAGGAACCCGATGCCTGGTTTTGTTCCGCCCACTTTTCACGTGAGCTTCGTGTTGGGCTGATGTTTTTTGCTGGGGAAACATAGGGAACCCTGGCACAAGTGTCACAAGTGCCAATGGTCAGGGTGCAAGTGTTGAATGTTCAAAAACCATCTCTTGCAAGGTAACTGCCAGCACCCGGGTACCAACCACTGTTTGTTGGTTACCGCGGTCACCAATGGAAGCTTGGTCGGGTCGCATGGTTGCGAAAGCCTTGAACACTTGGGACGTGAAAGTTTGAACATGCGACTTTGATGGATTTAGCTCCAAGGTCGCGGCAGGCGATCGCCTCTCATCCTGGTTGTATGTAATTGCCCTGGATATCCAGAGGTGCTTCAACAAATACCCTTTCAAAACTGCGCACGTTCCATTCACCAAAATAGAGTCTGCGGTTCGCCCATTAGGGAAGTTCCCCCCCGAAGCAAGTTGTTGACTCGACATTCAGGGAGACTTGGAAACGGCTACAAAGAACCTGCCAACTTGGCAACGAAAGCTCAAGAGGCCCCAGAGGCCCCACTTGGCATGAGACAAAACCCATTCCAAAAAACATCGTGCTTGTTTTCCAGCGAGTCACTTTTGGCACCAAAAGAAGCCATAGGTGTCGTTGGTTCTTCCCTGGCAAAAAGGGGCACAAAGCCCATCTAGACCAGTCAAACCCAGCTATGTCTGACCCTAAACCTAACCTCAAAACGTCCAAGGCATCGAGTCTGGAGGCGGTGGGAAGTTTATTTTTGACAACCCGGCGGCTTGCGCCTTGCTCAGGATAGTCGCATCCGACTTTGGAAGCTGCCTCGCTGCGCAGGGAACGGGAAACTGAAGAACAACTTGGCCAGGCTTCTACAAAACGTCGGCCTGATGATTAAGAGGGAAAGTGAAGGAAACCCGCAAGAGCAGGCAAAGCGTGAAATTCCAAGGACCCCGTTGAAAAACCTGGGGGCCTTGACATACCCTTAAAGAAAGCGCGTGTGCGGAGTAGGGGGCCCCCGTCTCCTCCAAACCAACTTTTTGGACCCCAGGTGTACCCAAAAAGTTGAAGCTTTGAGTGTACCCTTTTCAGGCTGCTTTGAATCGAAACAGAAAGGAAACAACACCATTTCCTGAGCCCCTCTCCTTCGACACATTTTTAATCTGCCGGTGAGCCTCAAGAAAGGGAAAACCCCAAAGCAGTGGGGTTTTCATTTGCTGTTCCCCGGTTTTTTTGGCACTCCAAAGAGGCGAATGGCCGAACCCCTCCCTTTCCGAGAGCTGTCAACACCTCTTGGAGCCAATCTGGGCTCACAGCCCATAGCTTTCAGCGAGGAAAAAAAAAACGAGTGCCTGAGAAAGGGGCGGGGCTGCCGAGCTTCACGAATCACACACAGAGCCTTTGAGTATCCCTTACCTGGCCATGGCCCCCCCAAACCAAGCAAAACACATGTGTTCCTGAACAAGATGTTGAAAAGTTGGCTCGTCCGCTCGTGTCTCTCTGTTCTGCGAAACGAAGGCTGAAGTCCCCTGGAAAAGACTGTTTCCAGTAGTGAAATTGATTCCCTTTTAAAACCACCAGCAGAAAATATAAAAATATTCATTTCACCAAATGGAAGAGGCGCTTGAACTGCCGCATCACCTCAAAGGAGTCGCCCTGCGCCATGAGAACCAGGCGCCTCGCTGGCTGGGATTTTCGGTTTTTTCCGCTCCGAGTTTTTGCTGGCGCCGAAAGCGTCACTTGGCCGGGCCACAACCTGTTGGGGAAGGGAAACCAAAGCGCAAGCCAGTTTTTGTTCTCTGTCTTTGTTGTTGTTGCTGTCCTTTGGGGTGAAGCGTCCTTTCTCTGTTTTTGTGGTTGTTGTTTTTCTTTGGGGTGGAGGGGTGTGCTTGCCCCTTAAAACTCCAAGCCCTGGTGACAGTTAATCTTTTACAGACATATAGCCCATGTTCCCCCCAAAAAGTTGAAAAGTTGTGTTTTTAGAAGGTAAGTGTTGCTTTTGGGGTGGCGGGGTCCCTCAACAAACGCGAAACCCAAAGGTAAGCCACCGCAGTTCCTCCCAAGGCCTACACGCGGGGCTCGCGAAAGACTTGGCCAATCGCGACCAAGGTACTCGCCAGCTTGAGTTTGTCCGTGCACCCGGGTGAGCGGTTTCCCCTCTGAAAACAGCAACCCTACCAAGCGAAACTTACAAAAGGGCCCGAAAGGTGGCGCTGAAAAACAAAACATGGATTCAATACAAACCCCCTGTTGCAACACCTCTCTGCCTTCTACAAAATCGAACACCCACCCTCATGAAACAGCCACGCAAGGAAGTGGTTGGCCTGCAAGCATGTGGATATCCTCCCGTTGCCTTTGAGCGAAAGATATTCGTCAACCGGACAACAGAATGTGATGACAGGCTTACCTGCTTCCTCCCTGCCTCATCCAACTATTCCTACAACATGCCTCCAAGCGGCATGTAAATTTACACCTGCTGCCAAAGTGCTGCTAAACCATGCAAATCCCAGAAGTAACGCGGGATGGTTTTGCCAAGGAGAATGTTCGAGCACCGGCTTCCTCCAAATCAGGGTGGGATCAAGGGGTTGTCCAACCACTTCTGTGATACAAGGGAATCTTCCCTTTTATATGGTGGATTAGTCTTTGGAAATTATCCAAATCGTTTGATATTCCAAGTGTTATCTAAATACTTCGACCCCGTGGGCACATTTTTTTGTGTGGATTGTACCTTCTCTTCCGGGGGGGTTCATTTTGGTTTCCCAAACAAAACCCACTGGACATGGTTCCCCCCCCCAACAAAAACAACCTTCGGCCCGTTTCTCAACCCGAGCGCCGCCTGAGTGGATTGGTCCACAAAAAGTCGTCGAACTTTCGGTGGGGGCTGCTAAAGTGAACCCAAGCGACCCAAGTCCCGAAACGGGACTCAGGGAGTGTCAAGGGTCAATGCCAGGTATGGGTGTTGAAGAAATGCCTGTAACAAGATTGCATACCACCAACATAGGTTTGCAAGGCAAATACATATATATATATATCCCTAATGGTGGTATATAACCTCGTACTGTGGATGGCCGAAATCCCGCATCACCTAAGAACCCTGGAATCGGCTGATTCCCTGCAAATACCAACAAAACAATAATTTCAACCACGGGTTTCTTAGGTGGAACGGCTTTCGTCCATCCACAGTAATGTTGACCCAGCCCGTTTTCATTGTTAGGGGGGTGTTCCCTCCAAAAGTGGTCTGAATCCCCACTAAAAGGGGACACCCCCTATGAATCAACCAGGGTTTATGAATCCCCTATTCATCAACCACGGGTTCTACTTAGATCCGAAAAGTAATGAATCCCCACTAAAAGGGGACACCCCCTATTCATCAACCAGGGGTTCTACTTTCATCCGGGGTTCACATTATGTCTACAAGTGGGTCTATTTCTTTGAGTCAGGTCGCCCCCTTTCGAAAGGGAACCAACAGGAGAACCGTTGCGCCATGCGGGGTCCAACCTCAACAACACACACACCCTCCAGCAGAGAGGTTAGAATAAGGGTACCCGATTTTTTTCTGTAGGGGAACCGAATCTCCCAACCAAAAAAATGGGTGAGAAAGGGCACCAATTGCTGGACCCAGCCAAAACCCACACCTCAAAGAGCAACTGGAGTTTTGAGCCTTGGCTTCCCCGTTTCGCAAAGAGCCGAGGCGCAGCTTGGCAATGGCCCCAGCGCCTTTGGGCGGGGGCCCTAGGTTGGCCGGGAGCGAGCCCCAGCGCCAGATCAAGTAGTTCTCCAGCACCTGCTTACTGGATCTGACTTTTTCTGGGGGGGGTACCCCTTTTTTTTGTGGGGGAGGGGGGGGGGTTCAAGGGAGACCCTAAAGAAACAAGATGGTTTATGTTCTTTCTTTCCTTTCCTTCTTTCTTTCTTTGTTTTGTTTTTCTGGGGGGGGGGGGGGGGCGGGGGTGAAGGGGTTATAGGGTAAAAAAAAGAAGAAGAGGAAACAAGATGTTTTTGGGGTCTTGTGAAGAAAGACACACCCATGAGCCACAGTCAATTTTGACGGATCCAAGAGGAGCCAATTCTGCTTTTGTGTTTTTCTTTTTGTTGAGGGGGGGAAATTACCCACCTTTTGTTGAGGTATGATGTCGTGTATGTAATTACCCTGGATATCCAGAGGTGCTTCAACAAGTACCCTGTAAAAAATGAGCGGTCAATATTGACGGATCTAAGTAGAACCCCATCCATGATTGCTTTTTTGGGGGGAAAACCCTCAAAAGCGGATAAATAACTCCGCCGAGGGAAGAAAAAAAAAGGGGACACAACCGAAGGAAAATCAACCAGGGAAGCGACTTACCCCGGGTTCCCATTATTCGTTGTGTCCCCCAATCAAATTGGATTTTGCTGAACCGCCATGTCCCAATGGTAAATTTCGGTGAGAGTGGCATCCCATGGGAGATGATGAATGGAGAATAAGGGATGGGGGTGGGGGGGGGGCACTTGGGGGGCGGTGCGGGGATTCTCCTTGGGCTTATTTCCGTTGCGGATCAAGTCGCAAGCTCAAGTCGTAGGGGGCACCATTTCAAGCCGAAGCAGTTTGATGCAACACCCGAAAAGAGAGCCGAAAAAGTGTGTTCTCTTTGGCTTCAAAAACACACACCCAGTTCGAATTTGGGCCTGCACAATAATCGCGAACAGCTACGTCTTCATGGCACACACACAAACGCGCGCGCACAGGGCTCCCTATATATATTTAGGGTGGTGACCATATTTGTGTGTGTATGTATGATATGTGTATGTATGTATGTGTGTGTATATATATATATATATATATATATGTTTCCCTTTAACATCATCCTATCAAGAAGACGATTAGGCCCCAAAAGTGCTTAAACCAGCTTTGAAAGGGACTTATCGAGACCACCAAAACCCAAAAGCCCCGCACCCAGGGAGGGTTTTTCTCGCCACGCCTCGGTCTCCGTGTGGGGCCCCAGCTTCCAAACCACGGGGAAGGAGTCGATGAAGCTGGACAGCACGTGCCTTGGAGTTACGTCACGGGGGTGCCTGTCCACTTCCGACCCAGGGGAGCAAAGCCACTAAACCACTGGAAGAAAAAACAACTTGTTGTGTACCGCACAAAAATGGTCCAAACCCCAAAAGTGACCAAAAGTCCTTAAACTCAGGAAGTGGAGTTCGTTCCCTTTCAAACCGGTTTTTGACCCATTTTTGCGTGCACGATCAAAACTCCACTGGGGGAAGCGGTTCCACATCCGAGGCGCAGAGGGAACTTCAGCACGAACTTCTCGCAGCCCGTCAGCGGCGACGCCTCCGCCCCCGCCAGATCCGCGAACCAATAGACGAAGTAAAAGGCCACGTCCAGCTGGCTGCGCGCCTGGCGGTTTCGGCGCACGGCGTTTCGGCTCGGCGGTTCGGCTCGGTCCGAAGCCCAGAATCAGCCAAAATCACGGGTGGTGTGGGTTTTCGATAGTTTGGCTTGCCGTTGCTTGTTTTTTTGTATTTACCATTTTAGTGACAGTTAGTTCCCAATATTTGCCACTATTTGCCATTATTTACCATTGGGGCTTCGGAGGCGTTTCCAGGGGTGGTACACGCCGCTTGTATTGGAAGGTTTAAAGGGAGCCATGGGGGAAACTTTAAGTTTAAGGCACACCCAGGTAGGGTGGGTGGGTGAGTGTTGTTGCCCCCTGAAGAAGTGGGTTTCAGGCTTTTCGGGTTTCGGCTTGGTGGGTGGAAGCCCACTAGAATGTTCCCCGGTTGTAAAGGGAAACCACAGGGAAACACTTTGTGTTTTTTGTTTTGTTTTGGGGGGGAGTCGTGTTTCAGGTTTCGGGTTTGGTGGGTGGAGCCCCCTAGACTTTTCGGTTCCAAGTAAGTATGGGTTTGGTGGGTTGGGGAAACTCAGCCAAGAATGGATAGTAATAGGGAGTAGGGAAGTAAAGAGACGACAAGGGATTTTGTATGAGGCTTCCAGCAAGTGGTGGGTGGGGAGTGCTGTGTGTAGTGTCAAACTCGAGGTAAAAAAGAAAAAGAAAAACGATGCCCACGACCAAAGCTCCCTTTTCCCCCCCCGTCACCCCCAATTGGCTCGAATTCGACGTAGGGTTGCGGGGGTAGCTTCATGGGTCTGTCACTTTTTGAGAGAACCCTTTTTTGGCTGGTTTGAAAGGGACACCAAAAGGGAAATCGTCGCACCATTTTGCGGTGTTGGTCCAAAACCAAAAAGACAAAACACGCGAGCCACGTATATGCGGATTCCACGGAGTGCGCTTTGTCCTTCCTTCCTTTTCCCTACTTGGCTGTTCAAAGGCCCAGCTAGTAATTAGGTTGTTGGCAACCTAGCTTGGGACCCACAAGTCCCCCTAGTGGGGTTCACCTTGTCAGGGGAAATTGGTGGTATATAACTTACATACACATCCATACCTCGACAGCCCAAGCCTGAAAACCCTTCTCCCTGGGGGTTTTGGCGAACTTCCTGCAGAGATTGCCTGACCGGTGTCTTGAACTTTTTCAGCAACCCAGGATAAAAGTCGATGGCACAATTCCCTCTACATGGCAAAGGGGATGATTCACCCAGAGGTCGGAATTGCGCTTCAAACCTTCGTCCCCTTGCAACCACATCTCCCAGAAACCCCCGGTCAACCCCCCCCAATCCCTCCCTTGCAGAGCCCCCCCCACCCCCCCCACCCCGCACCCATCCCCACCCATCCCCCCCTCCCCCGCACGCGGGCGCGAGGCGTCGCCTTCTCATGGGACAGAATGACCTTCCGAAAGGCCCGGAAGAGGGCGCCGGGGTGAGCCTCGCCCTGCACCAGCCAGCCCATGTTGTAGTCCAGCTTGCAGTGGGTGAACCGGATGCTCTCCTCAACCACTCTCGGGTCTCGGGGGGGGGGGGGGGGTGCAGTGGACACTCCTGCGCCATTTTACGGTTACCGTTCCCGTGTAAAGAGCGAAGCCGCGACCGGCGTGCGGGCGCGGCGGGCGCACGCGGCGGGCGCGGCGCGCGGCGGGCGCGGCGGGCGGCGGGCGGGCGGGCGGGCGCGGCGGGCGCGGCGGGCGCGGCGGGCGGCGGGCGCGGGCGGGCGCGGCGGGCGTGGCGGGCGCGGCGGGCGTGGCGCAGCCGGGGGGCGGAAGTTTCCAAAATATATAAACTATAGTTGTCCTTCTCTTTCTTTTCTCGATGTTTCTCTTCTTTCTTTCCTTTTTTATTTTCATTGTTTCTTTTCTGTCCATCGTTATTGCTTTCTTTGTTATTTGATGTTCTTTCTTTCTTTCTTCCTTCCTTCCTTCCTTTCTTTCTTTTTTTCTTTCTTTCTGTCTGTCTTTCTTTCTTTATTTCTTTCTTTCTTTCTTTCCTTCTTTCTTTTCTGCTTCCTTCCTTTCCTGCCCTTCCTTCTTTATTTAGTTCTTTCCGTTCTTTCTGTTATTTCTTTCTTATTGTTTCGATCTATCTCTCTAACTATCTACCTATCTGTCTATCTATCTACCTACCTATCTAACTATATATCTACCTATATTTCTAGCTCCCTCTCTCTCTCTCAATCTATCTATCACTCCATCCATCTATATATCGGTATCTCTCTCTCTATCTATCTATCTATCTATCTATCTATCTATCTTTCTTTCTACTTACCTACCTACCTACCTAACTATCTCTCTCTCTCTCTATCTATCTCTCTCTCTCTCTCTCTCTCTCCCTCTCTGTCTCTCTATCTGTCTATCTACCTACCTACCTGCCTACCTGCCTATCTCTCTATCTACATATCTAGCTTTCTACTTACCTATCTCTCTCTATCGATCTATATCTCTATTTATCTATCTGTCCATCTGTTTATCTATCTGCGTCGCATGTTTAACAGTTATACTGTCCGGCAGTGTTCAACGTACGGGGGGGGGGAGATTTTTGGGCGGGATCAACCAGGGGGCACCGAAGTGCCCCAAAAGTTGATCTATACAAGGGGGTCGGGGGGGGGGGGGGGGGGATTTTTGGTGGGAAAACCCTCTTTTCACTTGTCCTCAACCAGGGGTCACTGGAGTCCCCCTCCAAAATTCGATCTATTGTGGCTGCCATGGAAACCACTATGGATCTTCGATTTGCCGGTGGTTCGGGTCTGTGGCTGGCCAATTGTCTAGGGCTCTGATTCCCCATTTTCAGCCATCGTTCTTGGCAGAAACTGGATCCGTTTCCCTGGGTTTCTGAAGAGGTTTTCTAGAAGGATCCCTGGAAAAAAGATCGGAAGGAACCCTTAGAAAGTGGATGAAGAACGGGTGACTTATACGTGGGCTATAACCTACGTTACCAGCAACTGTCTAACTTGGACCAACACCCAACCACACAAAGTGGTTGGAAAGAACGAGTTAGTTTGGTTTGAACATCACTGTGAATTGAACAAATTCATGAAGATCGACACCAGTTGGATGTGAAGAGCTAGACGCGGAACGGAGCCGTCCTGTCACCGAGAAGAAAAAAAAAAGCACCAGGCAAGGCTGGCGGGCGTCTTTTTTTGAGTTGTGAGAAACAACACCGAAACAAGTTTGGGTCCTTCTCCAAATGCTAAAACAAGACAACCCCCCCCCCAATCTGGCAGATGTGGGCCTGGGGGCGGCTTTTGCGATCCGGATCCGTGAAATAGGGCCCTCCCCCAATCCAACCACAGGGCCCTCCCCCAAAGTTCTTCCCGTTCGCAAAGAGGGTTCCTTGTGGTTGATCTGACCCCATGTTTGCCTCGAGAAAAGCCTATGCTATTTCTGAAACAACCATCACTTAAAAGACCAGCTTGTGGTCTTCTTGTTCACACATGTTTTCAATTATTTCGTCTGGTTAGGCAGTCCCTATAGTCCATCGCCCCCCGCCACACCCCAGAAGCGCCTCCACCCACCCACCCCTCCCAAAACCACCCCCCAACCCCTCAAACACCCAAAAAAATATCAACACCCACAAAACATGCCCCTCCCCCCCAAAACACACACACACACACCGAACCCACCCCCCCTTCCCAAAACCTCCCCGCCTGGAGCTCCGGCAGCAGCCCCGCGAAGGAGGGCAATGCCTCCGGGCACCTCTCCAGCACGTAGCTCAGCGCCAGGTCGTGGTCCCCGATCACCTCGGTCGCATCGCGGCGATTCGAATCGAGGCGAAGGGGGGGAAGCAAGGGACAAATGGGAAAAATGCGGGCGCCTGGATCGCCGGGGGCGATATTTTGTTTTCTTCCATGCACTTCACACCAAAAACCAGAAACATGGTCCGTTCTGGGTGAATTATCTCATATTTCACCAGCCTGAAATACGGTGGTTGGGGGCCATTCCCACCATTTGGGGTGAGGTCATGTGAGGTCGTTGGTGCCTGGATCGCCAGTGGCGTTGTTGGCACTTTAGCCCAAAAAAACCGATTGCAACGGTGACTGGAAAAAGGCAGCAACTTGGCTGTCTAGGTGTTCCATCTAACTGGACCCTCAAACTACCTTAAAACAGGGAAATCCCTACCATGATGTTGAGCAATGTCCAATCTTCTTGGGCAGTTTGAGGGTGTAGGTTCCAAGTTCAGGGTGTAAATGGGTGGCTCGTCTTGTTTTGGGAGGGACCCTTTTGGGGGTTGGTTTAGCTACTTAAAAGGAACCCTGGAATTATTAAACATGCATACCCTTGGTTACCTACTTAGTAAGTTGGTTGGACATTCAAGCACGCGAATCGATCCGATCTGACAGATTCGGATTCGGTCGGAGGGCAAGTTGATAAAACGAGAAAGTCTGGCGATTCGCATGCTGTTAATTGACGTAAAATAATTGGGTCTTAATTCTAGGGTTCGGAAAAGACTTATAGGAGCTTGTATATCATTGTATTGTAGGGTAGGTTATAAAAATTGGGATATTGTACGTATTCTACTCGGTTCTTTAGTGTGACTTCTGGTAGATACGAAAATGGGGATGCCAGCATGGCTGTAACGATTTGTGCAGGGTTGTCTTTTTCAGGGTACCCTTTTTGGGATTTAAATGGACACCAAAGGACTCCAGCTGGCATTTGAGTGATTATCGACTTTTAGTGCTTCGACAAGCGGTGAATCACCTACGGGGACGAAGGGATTGCTACTAATCCTATAAAACCAGCTAGCGTGTTCTATGCAAATTCGGAATTGAGATTTGGACCGGGACGCAAAATGGATGGTTCCACTTTCGTGGTACTTGAGAGCCCTTGCAACAAGAAGTCGTCGTTGGGTTTTTTTCAGTGCCCAGTAGGTGAGAAGGGCGCTTCCCCCTTGGCGACTGCGCTAGCAATCTTCTGCAACCCAGTGCTGCCCTTTCTTTGTTGGGAGGGGTTTCCCCTTGAATTTTGGGGTAGGGGGGGCAGGTTGAAGGGGGGTGAGTAATGGAGACCTGTAGGGTTTAATAGGATTTTGCAAGGGATCCTTCAGGGAACCGCCTCCGTACTTCTGGGCGACCTACTGTGGGCATCTGTGGGCTATGCGAACTTACCTCAGAATCGGGTTCTCCCTTCTATGCGAGAAATATTAAAACCCTCAAGCCACTACCCCCAGGGTCGAATGGGACAATCACAATATAGCCACAAAGGGTTTTTACCCCAATTTCCATTGGGGGCAGTGGCTTGGGGGTAGTGGCAAACATGGTAAGTTCAGGGCACACAGCGCGGTCCCGGTGTCTTGCTTTTCTTGCGGTTCAACCACCGTCCGGAACCTCACATTGTGTGGTTTCGTTTGGCTTCTCTAGCTTTCCGAACATGCCGAAAAAGGTCTTGGCTTCGGCTACCCTTTCTCGACCCCCTGAATGTTTGCCTTGCTCTTTAGTCTCCCTTTGTCTAACAACCAAACAGGGTGCCAACCACCAAATACTGAATACGAGGCTGTCCGCAGATCCTCTGCTGAAAGTTAAAAACTGTTAGTGGGTTAAATGGAAAGCCAACCAGGAAACTCACTCAAAACAGCCTAGGAAGCCCAATCCCTTGCCCAGTGCTGTGGCACCCTAATCTCTTTTTGGTGGGATCCTTAATGGTCAACCCCAAAAAGGTGCCACGCGGTTTTTTTCCTTGCCGTCTCTACAAACCACTGATGGCCAAGTATGACACACATGGAGCCTCGTGCTGGTTGCAGTTGTATCTTTGCAGCTGTATCTGGATCTTTATCCCCATGTTATACGGTTTCAAGGGACGCCAACAGGAGAACCGCCCATCAACAACTCCCAATTCCCACAATCCGACTCAAGGGCCAAAATAACTAGGTTGGGGGACTTTAAACCTTTGCCAACCGCAGCTCCACGGAAAGGCTTCTCCATTTGGCTTCTTTCAAGTGCACCAACTATGGGTGTGTGTCCAAATAGGAGTCGGTACCCAAAAATGCGTTGTTTCCCTTCAATGCCCCTTTTCCCCAACCCCAAAAGGACCCCATAGAAAAGCGACACCCTCATATCTAACCAACTTTACCCCCTCCCCCTTTTTCCGCGACACCGGCGGGGGGGAGGGGGGGGAGGAAGCGAGTCCTGGGCTGTCCTCAGATGCCCTACTGAAAGTTTAACTTGCGGGGTAAATGGAAACCCAACCACCAAACCGACTAAACAACCAACAACCTAAGGAACCGGACGGCTGGTTGAACCGCCTTCGGAACTTCCAACAGTGGCGATCGTTTCAATGGACACCAGTAAGTTGAGCCAACTGAAGTGGAATCCAGCGACCCCAATCCTTTTCTCACTTCCTGAGTGGACTGGCCAAAGAAATCTGAGCTTTACATGTACCACTAAAACGGTCTTTCCGAAAGGTTTAGGGTCCATGAACCCAGGGCGTGTTTCTTTTTGTCTTTTTCCTGCGCCGAGAAGCGTCCCCGGGCTTGTACCCACAGAACTCTTCCGCCAGAACGGAGGGCCGTAGGATGTCCAGCTTCATGATGTCGTGGATCGTCATCAGGACCAGCATGGCCAAGGTCCTGCCGTGCGCGCGATCCCCCCTACCAGGGGGAGGGGGTGGGGGGGTCCCACAATTCCATTCATTTAGCTTTTTTCACAAAAGGGAAAATGGAACCCTAAATGGAATTCCAGGGGTCACCCTCCCCCAATTCCACCTTGAAGGGGGTGGGGATCTGCCGAGGCGCCCGCTGGACGACCGGACGACCGGACGACCGGACCGACCGAACGACCGGACGACCGGGTTGGACGACGAGAAGTCAATCGTCCACCGTGGATGGATTCTGGGGCGTGGGCACTTTGAAACCAGGGGTGCAGCCATGATGTCTGGGTATGGACGTTTGGGGAAGTCGAAGCGTTCCGTTTGGTTTCCGATATTGGTGGTGCGAAATGGATCTCGCCACAGTACCATGTTGTCCAAAGTAGCAAATGAGGTGTAAAGGTGTAGACCTGTGTAAGGAACCCCCACGTGATGTCTCGTTGATTTCTATGCTCATCGTCAAGGTTCCTGGACTAAAAAAGCTTCAAAAGTCTGCTTTCTACCCAGAGGCTCCCGGTTGATTTAGGGCCTTCAAACAACCTGGTTTTGAGACCCCCAACCACCTCCGGGGTGTCTAATGGAGTGGTCGGGTCTTCCATTGAAAGCCCCAGGAGCCTCTGGGTAAAAAAACTCAGTTCCGACAGAGCGGGATTGGACACAGAGTCCAATCTGTGTATCTACAGGGTCCCTACAATTCCTTCAAGTCCGAAAACTGAGGTTGAGGGAAGTGAGAAAACAAACAAACCTCGCCCACTCCAGGACAAAGAATGGATCTCACCGGATGGAAAGGAACCTAACTGCTCTACATGGATAAGCGCGACATGAAACTGTGTTCAACCAAACTAAACCATAAAACCCATGTTTCACCTGGATAAACTGAGAACTAACAAGCAAAGAGCCAAAACTATGTTCAACCAACCTACTAAACCCCACCAGTGCCTGAACCCGAACTTCAGACTGGCACTTGCCCCCATCAGTCACAAACTCCAAGGACACCTTGACTAGGTCCAAGGTTAGAATAAGGGTACCCGACTTTTTTCTGTAGGCTATTTTAGTAGGGGATCCTTCCCCCAAAAAAGTGCTTAAGAGTTGGCGCTACTGGGGGACCTAGTTGAACGCCTTCGCCTTTGGTTCTCCAAAACCGGCTCTCGAGGCTCCCCAACCCGCGCGCCTCTCGGTGTCATGGCCGCCCTCCGGGCGCAATAAGCCCGCGCCGCGGAAGAGGTCTTCGATGGCGCCCCAGTTGGCGTTGGTGTAGAAGTTCCTGAAGTCCAAGACATGGCTCTGTCCCATGTGGGTCTTAAGGGACCCCAAACATGGATGGCCATGGGTCAAATCCCGTACTAAGATCCAGTGAACATCGCAATCCCCACTAGAAATAGGTTCTAAAATGGGTGGTGCACCTGGCCCAAAATGGGATCCCATTGGTTTTGAGCCACGGCCAAGTCCAAGACATCGCTTGGGCGCAACACCCTTCATCTCATGTTCATGGAATCCATTCGATTCAAGGGGGGGATCGTTGCGAAATGGTCACGGAGAAGCCCATGGGCACCAACATAGGTTTCAACGTGTTGTAGTCAAGAAAGTGTGGCTAGTCAAAGCAGGAGTGTAGTCAAAAAAGTGTGTTCTGAACATAAGCTTGAACATGTCTTACGTTTAGTCAAAACAAATGAAGCAAGTGTGCTTTGGTTTTGTACCACAAATCATGCTGATTCCTGGCGGGTCAACATCTGGACTTTGAGGGAACCCTCCAGGTGTTTCCTTTGGCTTCCTTCATAGGGCCACCAAAGAGTGAGATCCCAAAAACAAAAAGCGAAACCGGCCCTGGTAGGTAGAGGGTTCTTCTAGTCATCGGGTTTCATCCATCTGGACTGCGAGTGGATTTTGTACGTGATGTTAAAAACCAAGAAGAATAAACAAGAAAAAAACAAGGAATAAAAAACGCAACTCGGGGAACCTGGTGCGTCATCTACGTGAGGATTTATTTTTCCACCCTTCATTCATCCGTGCATCCGTGCATTCATGCATCCCATGCGTCCGTCCATCCATCTTCCTTACTTCCTTCCTGTCCTTCCTTATTTATTTCCTTTCCGTCGTTTCTATTTTCTGTGTTTATTTTATTGCACTCTCTTTCTTTCGTTCTTTCTTTCTTTCTTTCTTTCTTTCTTTCTTTCTTTCTTTCTTCTTTCTTTCTTTCTTTCTTTCTTTCTTTCTTCTTTCTTTCTTTCTTTCGTTCTTTCTTTCCTTCTGCCTGCCAGCCTGCCTGCCTGTCTGCCTGCCTGTCTGCCTGTCCGTCTGTCTGTCTCTCTGTCTGTCTTTGTTTGTTTGTTTGTTTGCTATTGTCCCTTTCTGTCTTTCCTGATTTCATTATGCTATTCCGCCATGAATCCACTAAATTCCGATCCTTTCCGCTCCATTCCGTTCCATTCCATATCAATCGATGTCAATTCACGTTGTGTCATCCTGTTCCGCTCCTTTCTTTTCCGTTCCTTTCCTTTCCCTTCGATTTCGCCGACCATTTCATTTGACCCATTCATTAAGTCCTTCAGTTGCTATTTCCTTAACTTAATTCACTCATCTAGGTCCTCCAGTAGAGCGGATAGAATAAGGGTACCCGTTGTTCTGTAGTCGTTTTTAGTTGGGGAACCCTCCAAACCGAAAAAAAGGGGTGAGAAAGGGCACCTAGCTGGGGGACCTAGTCATACATCTCCCTTGGCCACGTCCCATCCCCCAAAAAAAAGGAGAGACATCCGGTGCCCAGGCGCATCCGGCGCTTGAACTGTGTCTCTTCCTCTGGGAGTTGCCTGGCGCAAGGCCAAAAAAAACTCGAGGCCAACCAAAAAAACAACGTGGGACCACAAAGACCCAGACACCCAAAACAAATACCCAGACACCCAATACCCAGACAAACTGGACTACAAATAGCCAAAACAACATGGACTACAAAATATCATGAGACAACAATGCGCTTTACAGTATTGTGCTTAAATTCTCCCAATTCCGGGGTATACGGGGGGACACATTTGGGGAACTCATGACCCTAACAGCTGCTTCTGTCCAAAATCCTGTTGCTGTCTAACAAGCAGTAATTGGGGGGAAGGTTGTGGGGCTAGTGGCCCCCCTAGTCAAGAGGCCCAGATGTGGCTCCGAGCCGCTTGCCAGGCAAAGGGTTTCCCCCCCGCCCCCGTGAGAAGGGCTCGTCTTTCAGCAAATGGCTGGTGAAGAATAGGTACCTGGAAACTACCCAAACAAATTGGTTCTTGTCCCTTTTTCTCCAGGTCCAGGTAGTTTGAGGGTCCAGGTGTTGCCTTGGTAAGCAACATGGAAAATCTGCGGTGCATATCCTGGTGGCTTAAGTTTGACCCATACCCAAATGGTGCCATCTAATTCATGGGTCTTGCCCTGCAAGGCTAGTGCGCCTTGCCAATCCAAACCTTAGGTTCCCTCAGAACTCTTCTTGGTTGCTGGGATCCCTCTGCAAAAAGAGTTTCAACTTGTGGGGCCAGTGCTTCAAGGGAAACCGAAGAAGCCAAACCAATTAACTACTGTTGGGAAAACCTTTCATACTTTGCATTGTGACTGTGATCGGGGCCGGCACATTCCTAACCGTCTGGGTTTGACAATCTGGGGTCGACAGAACTCCAAATCTGGGCGTTTCTCAAAATAGGGCCCTTTTGGGAGGGTTTTTTTCAGAGGAAGCAACCCAAACAGGTCCCTACGTTGAGAGACTCCCAAAGAGGTGTGTCTCAACCCTCTCTAAAAGAGGCTCGGCCTTTAGAAGAGCCCCAGTGCCCCAGCCTCAACCATCCGTAACGAAGACACATTTGCCAGGCCAATATGGGAAGCTGGGCTTGACACTCAAATGAGGGAACCCCTTAAATGGCAGAGTTCTTTCTCTACAAAGCCAAGCCCAAGGGTACCAGGGCTCAAGGGATTCGAACTCCAGAGTAAAACTCGTCTCAGACCTCCAGATCTCAAGCGCACAAGCAGAGCTCAGACCCCCCCGTGGGCTTCCCTCGCCTCAACTCCTCCATGCCCGACTGCCACTCGCTGTTCAGGCCGAAGCAGAAGCACTCCTCAAGGAGAGGCGCGAAGTCTCGACGCGAGAGACTCGAGAAAACGGCTCGGATGCGGCCTTTCAATAGATTATCCACCTCTGTATTTTAAAAGAGCACGAGATTGCCAAGAAAGGACCAAGAGGGGGAAGAACCGGTGCAATCCGCCAAAAAGACGGATCCAACCGTTCTCTTGAATTCGGAATGCGGCCGATGTCCTGTTCAGTTCAAAGACCCTTCCCAAAGGGCGTGAATCTTTGCCATGCCAACCCCTTGCTCTTGCGCAGGAAAAGGTTGGGCCGAACAAAGCTACCCCACACTCCTGCTTTCCCAACCACTATCTTCCACCTTCAACCTCCACGGTGAGAGTCGATGATTCCCTACATGTGGAAGCCAGATCCAAAAGAAGAAGAAGAGACCCAAACGTGCCAGTCCTTGCCGTCCAAGTGGGTGCGCATGAGCCAGAAGATGCAGAAGAGCGCCCCGATGGTTCGCTGGAACTCGTCCGCGCCCGAGCGATTCGCCGAGGTGCTCATGACCAGGTCATTTCCTGAGAGGGCGAGGTGGGTGGTTTTGGTTGGCTGGTTGGGTTGCTTGGGTTGGTTGGGGTGGGTTGGGTTGGTTGGTTGGGTTGGTTGGGTTGGGCTGGTTGGGCTGGTTGAGTTGGTTGGGTTGGTTGGTTGGGTTGGCTTGGTTGGTTGGCTGTTGGGGTGGTTGGGTTGGTGGGTTGGTTGCTCTGGTTGGTTGATTTCTTTGTTTCTTGGTTTCTTAGTGGGGGACGAGAGGCCCTGACAGAGGTGAGCCAGAAAAGCGAAAGCAGCATGTGGGATTCATGTCCACCCACCACTTTTCAGGTGGTTCCGTAGTGAAACTCTATAACCAAGTAGCGGGAGACCCATTTGGTGGTACCAAAGTGGGTCATCTTAATGATCTTATCACTGAATAAGGGATTCCCCCTGCTGTCACAAAAAGTGGGCCTAATATAATAACGTGTTTCCCACAAATAAGTTTACGGGTGATAATGCTTAGGTTCCTCTTCGATCAATTGCCCAAATCCAAAGTGAAGCTCACTTGAGTCATAATCAAAATTTGGTATTAATTAAAAGGATCTGCCCAGCACCATGTCAAGACTTAAAGAAGGCGACTACACCCATGTGTGGTTGGGATTGTCCCTTACTCACTTGCCCGGGTTTTGATTGTGGCTCGCTTGAATTTGGAGCTGTCACATAGCTGTGGACAAGCAAGGAACGCACATCGATGTGTTTGCGGCTTTTCGAGAAACCCGAAAGAGCAAACACAGAAAAGAAGAAGAACAAAAAATGATTCATGCCTCGGAACATCATGAACTCTCTTAGTTTGCGAGCACAACGCTCTTTTTGCTTCAGGGCTGCAGGCTCCCCTTGAAACCACATGTCTGAGGCCGTGTTTTTTGTTCGAGGAGCTTCAAAAGAGACCTGCGGTCCCAACACCGCTCCCCCGAATTTTCAGCCTTCGTCCCAGAATTGCCCCCCCGAAAAAAAATGCCACATGGACCACGGCGCAAGATTTTGGGGCTCGAGCCGAGGGTCTTCGGTCGTTGACTCGCACCACGGAGTAGAGCCGCAGTTCCGGGAAAGCGGCCACCACGTCATTGTAAAAGTCCTGCGAGCCGGGGGAATTTGGGGGTTCCGAAATTTCGCCCCTTGGGAAATCCTCGAGCAGTTGAGCAAACCACACGCTACTGTGGATGGTTGCGAACTCCATTTCGCAGCACCTCGAAACCATGGTTGAACTCATTTGTGAGTATTTCCAGGAGAGATCGAATCAGACCATTCCAGGGTTTCTGATATATCGGTGGTGCGAAACGGATTGGATTTCGCCACCATCCACAGCAGCTTCCCCATTCCGAACCCAGGGGTTTCCGGAAAATCTGTCTAAGCGCCTCCTTAGAAAACTGATCAAAACCAAGAGAAAATCAGCCGATAGAAATGTGTTGGTCGGTTTCGAAAGAATCAACCCTGAGAAAGCAGATATCGACTTTAGGGAGATCCACTGAGTTTTGGTTGGGGGGTGGGGAAATTGGGGAGTAACCAGGCCTCAAGTCGGGAAGCAAAGTTGGAGCTTGAGCTTCAAAGGAGTCGATGGGATTTCCAGATCAGCTCTCAAGATTGGTTCCGGAAAAAGAATCTCAGAAAGATCAAGAATGAGCAGCAAAATGTGGCTACTTTGCTGAAGCTCCTTTTTGGTCGACCAGTTTGGGTTTACCAGTCCCGAGCTTTCCATTAAGTAGACAGCACCCCCTCAAAGTTAAACAAACCATGTCAATTCAAGGGGAACCACCCCTGATTAATACTTCGATGTTTACATTCGGCTGTCTGTTTTTGTTCGCGCCCTTTTTAAAGGCCCTCTTGATGGGCTTTCAAGGAAAAACACACACAGCGAAGCAAAAACCATGTTTGGCGGCTACCCTCACAAAAAGAGGAACAACGAGCAGCAACAATTTGTCAGACCCCCACCACTCCACCATCCGCCCACCCCCACCCTTGCCCCCCCAGAGTGAACAAGCGGATTCCGAACGCATTCTACTTGTTGCTGGGAGGGCACTTTCTGCCAAAGGTGACCGAGATCCACATCCATGATCGGATCCCGGCGATGTGCTTCGTACGCTGGTGGTGAGCAAAACGCCGAGCGAGCGAGGATTAACACAAGGCCAAACCAGAAATCGAAAACAAGCCAAGGAGGTGACCCCAAAAAAAGACACAGACCAAAAGGAGAGGTTGGGCAGACCTGTTCAGCGACACCGAAACCTTCCCCAACGCCCGGTTTTCATCCCGTCCCGCGTGGAGTACTCTGGCGACCGGATCAGCTCCGCTGCCCTCCGTGCACGGGGCCAGTCGGCGGCCCTGCCCTCCATCACGCGGCTCACCAACAGTTCCTAAGCCGCTCAAATCGAAGGAATTCGAGGGCCCAAAAGAAATACCCACTGTGTGTTCCAGTGTGTGCGCGTGAGAGTGCGCATGGGCGTGGGCGTGGGCGTGTCCGTTTGCATGCGCGTGTGCGTCCTCGGGGCGTGCGTGCGTGTCCGTGCGTATGCGTGCGCGTGTGCGTGCGCATGTGCGGGCGTGTGCGGGCGTGTGCGTGTGCGGTTGCGCGTGCAGGCGTGTGCGTGTGGGCGTGTGTGTGCTTGCGTGTGGGTGTGCGCGTGCGCTTGCACGTGTGGCATGGGCGTTTGCATGTGCGTGTGCATGCGTGTGCTCCAACTCGAATCTTCACTGAAAAGGGTTTCAGTGACAGCACTACGCAGTATATATGAGTCAGGCTATATCTGATATCATGATGGCACATCTGCAGCACATAATTTACGGGAACATGTGCTCTTCTGCAATCTTCTGCATGCAACACTCAGGCATGCACAAAAAAAAAACATCGGATATATACAACGGTCTATGCAATAATCAGAATAATGCCCTGGATATGTCTACAGATTCCACTTGCGAAGAGGGTTTTCCCGATGAATGTTGACTGCGGGAAAGTCAACCAGGAGTTTGTTCCGTTCCTTCTTTCTTCTTGCGCCAAGAAAACTTGATTGACCTTGGAAAGGGAGCAAACAATTAAATTGTAGCAGTTAAGTGGGGAGCTCCCACTAAACCACAATAAGCAAACATGTAAAATGCTTCCCAACAACAACCATGAAAAGAATCAACCAGTTGATTCCTGACCCCTGCAGCTGGTCTTACTCTCTTGGGGTGCCTGATTTTTCGCCTCGCCGAGCCGCGCTGGAGCCGCGCACAGGCAGAATCTCCGGCGGCAACACCTGCAGGTTTCTGAGGTGCTATCAAAACCGAAGGCATGACCTTTTTCTGAAGGTCTATCTAGAAAGCGGTTTGGACGCGCTTTTTGTGGATTTCATCCGTCCTTCCCCCTGTAGGTTCTTTTTTAGTACTCTTTTACTACTCTTTTAACATCCTACAGGGGTGGATCCACAAAAAAAGCATCCAAGCCATTCCCTAGAGTCTAGCCCCAACTACAATTACACCAGGAAGAACCAGCTATGGCCAATTGGAGCTTGCGCTTCCATCTGGTCTCAGCCAAATCAAACCATCAAAAGCCTAGTGACAGCTCGGGTTGTTGACTCTGCAAGAGGCTACCCCCAGTGAACATCCCAATCCAACCACTAAAATAGGTTCTAGAATGGGTGGTGCACCTACCAACCAAAATGGGATCCCATTGGTTTTGACCCACAGCCAAAGGAACTTTGTGACCCTCTTTGGTCTGCAGGATGCCCCAAAGACAGGAGGACGCCCCAACCAAATGATCAAGCCCCTTTTGTTCTGGCGACAATGGCCTCATCCGGCCCGTGTTGTTGGTCGAGGTGCCAACCGGGTGGACAGGGGCCAAAGGAAACACGTGAAAGTTGTTCAGGATGTCAAGGCAAAAGGTGTCCCATTTTCAAGCGAAAACTCAAACTTGGCACGAAGAAAATATAAAGTGATTCTGTCGCACTTTGAATATTTTGATGGGGGAACAACCCCCAAAAAAATGGTTGGTGGACATGACTCCCACCTCATTTGTCTACCAAAGGGTCCGAGACAAACTTAAACATGCACCCATATTTAGTCTACCCTAACTTCTGAAATAGTCTTGGTTGCTGTTGACCCCCTGCAAAAAGTGAATAACTTTTTGGGGGTTTAGTGGAAAACCGCTTGATTTCCCAAAAAGGTAAAGTCCAAAGATCCAACCCAGTAGTTCTTAGGGGGTGAAAGAAAAAAGAAAAAAAAAAGAAAAAAAACCGATTGGCTAGCTACTGAGACGAACAAACGGCGAACCGAACATCCGAGCAGTAGACCCAGCCGTGCCCTGCCTGGCCCTTGTCATCCCCCTCAGTGCTGCTGAGCCTCATGTCAGGAGTCAAGGGTCGAGGGCATTTACGTGACTCATAGATCCATGCCAACGACTGTGGATGGACGAAATCCTACACCACCATTCAGAAACCCTGTAACTACCAACCAACAATGGTTTTCCATGGTGCAGGAGTTCGTCCATCCACAGTATGAATGCATCATCTCTATCATTCCTTGCATCACGCATCACGGGATGCACTGTTCCCATACGGTTGCCTTTGTGGGCGGCATGTTTATATCTTGCCTCTGGCTGCAGGGCACTTCCACTGAGAGTTCCATGGCAAACACATGTATCACCAACTCCAAAAAAGCTTAAGAGATTCGAATCTCCTGGCAAGCTCTGCGTGTTCCTGTGGTAGCATGTTCGTCCTGATATCTACGTGGAACTTCATAAGATTTGCGTGCAGATGTCATTCTGAAGCCTGGCACCGCTTGTGACTACCTACCTGGAGAGCGGCAAAGCATGTGGTGCCTTGTGGATGGAAAAGGTAATATATATATATATATATATATGTATATGTATATAACATATATATGTATATATATATTGACATCAGCCAAAGTAGAGGAGATCGGAAGATCAAATTTCACGAGAACAGCTCCCAGAATCAAAGCCATTGACTTTTGGTTCTACCAATATAGGAAACTCTGTTTTTGAGGGTACGCCCTTGTTTGTAGTTTAGGACAATCACTTCCTCTTTTCTTTTTTTGGGGGGAGGGGGTTGCTGAGAAAAGGCACGGGTATATGGGCAAATCTTGTTGCATAACCTTCCCAGAGCCACGCAAAGAAGTGCCAATGCTCGGCACTTTCTGACGCGGGTCATACACGTCATGGGAAAGCTGTGGAAGTCTGGAGACCGGATCTTGAGGAAATTCTCCAAGAAGCCGCCCAAATTCTCCAAGAAGTCACCCAAATTCTCCAAGAAGTCGCCCAAACCCCAAGTTTTTTGGAGAAACTCCTGGAGAAATGTCTGGAGACAATTTCTTGGATCGATGGCCATGGAACCAAAAATCCCACTTGGCAGATCCCAATCCACCGAAGCCGCGTAGGGATACGTCCCGGTTAGCTCCAGCCTGCAGCCTGGTTGATCCTGCCAGCATCCTGGTCTCAGACCCGGGAGGCTTTGTCCTATGGCTTCCCCTTCCATTTCAAACCCCGAAAAGGGAATATGGAAATTTCAAACTAAGCAAAAAACAGGGACATCACCCCATTTTTTGCAGCAACAACCCATCTTTTATTCGAGTAGCTTGAGGGTGTACCTACCTTTCGCAAAAAAACAAAAAAAAAAAAGAAAAAAAAGAGAGACCGCCGAGCCGCCCCACCTCACCTTTCCTTCAGACGTGGGTGCTGTAGATCCCCCAGTGAACAGTTTCACCTTTTGGTTTAAAGGAAATATGAAAAAGGATCCACCCAACAGCAATAGAGCAGACCAGACTGATCGAGTCACCCCCGTCTCCTTATCCCTTCTGCCCCTTCTGCTTATATGAGGGGGATCCACCCAACAGCAGAGCAGACTGATCGAGTCACCAGTCTCCTTATCCCTGCTTCTCTTCTCGCCCCAGCGAAGCGCCGAGGCGCTTGAGGCTGGCCGCCGCAGCGGTGATGCTTCTGGAGGCCTCGCACCAGCTCCAGCGGGTGACCACCGCCTCCATCTGCCCCGCCACCTGCCGGCGCCGCCGACGCGAGCGCTTGGAAGCGAGCGAGCGCCCGGAAGGGCGGAACGGCCGGACCGCAGGCGCGCGCCCAAGTTCGGGCCCAAAGACCCGAGCCTGGTTCTTATATAGAGACCCGTGGAAGAGGAAACCTCACTCATTCCCAAAATGGTGGTGGTACTTTAAAGCCACCCAAAAAAAAAACGGGGACCCGCTCCAAAGGACGAGCCACCTATATGAACCTCTCCCAACACGCAAGAGAAACGCCTTGGCGACCCGAGAGTTTCCTTGCCGCTGCGATGGGCCATGAGAAATGGGGCCGACCCGAATCTACGATCTCCTGGTGACATGGTCCTCGATTCGGGAATCCCCAAAACAGCTTCATTCGACCACAGACCCTGTGGATGGACGAAATCCGTTCGCACCACCTTTCAGAATCCATTGTTTCTGATGATTCCCTTGCAAACACCGACAAACCTTATGGCTTCCACCATGGTTTCTTAGGTGGTGCGTGGATTTCGCACCCCTCCACACCTCTCCGCCCGATCGAGCCGCGGAGCCCATCGATCCACCGATCGATCCGCGGAGGCTCGAGAAGAACGCGCCTGGTCCTTGCGCAGATAGGTGAAGTCCAGCGCGCCTGGCAGGCCGATTCCCTGCCATCGCTGGTCCTCCAAGGAGACACGTCTTAGCCGGGTTCGGCGGGTCAGGGAGGGGGGAGGTGGTTTGGGGGCGGTTTGGGGGTGTGTGTTGGGGCTGGTATGTCGGTTGATGAAGAATATAACCCGGGGAGGAAGGTGTTTGGGGGCTGCTCGGTGAAAGATGTGTTTTCGGGTTTGTTGTTGAAAAAACTGAACCATTTTTTAAGGGTCATGGAGACTCCAGGTAGATGGGTTACCCATTCCATCTGTCCAACCTGAGGGCGAACAACATTTCGGTTCTAGTTCGACTCAGACACCCGAAGCAAAGGACCCGAAAATCGATGCGTTTGGATTCATGAAAAGGGCCAACCAATCCTAAATGGGTGTGGTTCCTCTTTTGAAGTTGGTACCCCTTGTTTGGTGGCTTTGAAACCACTAACACTGTAGTTTTGTGGGAGCCCAAAAAAGATTCACCAAAATAGAAGAAACCCAGAAACCGTCTCTTCTCCGTGTCTCCAATCCGCACGGATTGCTCAGCTTGACATGGAACCCTGAACGGGTAGCGGGTGACAAATGTTCAGCCAAGTTAGTAAGTGGTTGGCCAATTGGGGTTTTCACCCCCTAAGAACAAGGATCCTCCAACTGAACAAGGGGACTTAGTGTCTATCCCAGCCGTTGCTATTCAACTTCCTGGCCCCTTTCGGGTTTTCCGAAGGTTGTGCTGGAGCTGAATCCACGGGGCCAACAACAAAATTCACCGAAGAGCTCACCAGCTCCCGCCAGAACCCCGTCCAGGCGCACGGAACCGCTACCGACTCGCGATAGCATGCGCAGCGACTCATGAAAGGAGGTCCTGGGGGTGCAACACCTCGCAGTGCACCTCGAAAATGTCGTAGGTGGTCTTGAGTCCAGGGAAGCTCCTGGCCGGGCGCAGAGGCTTCCAGCCTGGAAGCTAAACTTTTCGACCAGGTCACCAGCTATTTGCCCAAAATGGACACGCTGGTGGACAAGCTGTGTTTTAAAAAAGACCACCAAACGGAAACCCGGGCATTTTAGGAGACTCCCCTTCTTCTTCTTTTTGAGAAACGCCCATGCAGGCTTCATCCTACCTCCTTGGTGGCCCTTCACTGAAGATACTTGTTTCCTAGGTCACAGGTTGAACAAGTACCGCGTCTGGGACGCCGCGCCTTTTGCTCTGTTGCCCTTGCGAATTGCCCAGGGCGTGGAATTGATTTCTCCCCTCTTCGTGGAACCCAGGCGTTTAAGTCTATGTCCATGCAGTCCAAAAATTGAATGGTGTTAAGACCAACATTGAACATTTCAAGACCTGGTACCCTTTTGTGGATGTCGAATTTACGTACTCATGCCCGCCCTTTTCCCCAAAAACTGCTTTGTCTCAAAGCGGAACCCCAACCATCTCCCTTCCCCCTTTTAAACCGCCCCAAGCAGGATGCCGCACCACAAATGGGGCGTGAGAGACCCGGCGACATGAAGAGAGCTTCTTTCTGGTTCCCCAAAGCCAACCACAAGGGGGCTCCCCAAATGCGGTCCTCTCAGATGACACAGAAAAATGCCCAGTGCAAGCTGAAGCCTGATTTGCAACAGCTGGGGGTGGGTGTTGAATGCCCCGAAAAGTCACCCAAATGGAGCTTCGCTTTTGTGGAATCCCATCCGGGGGGTATGAGTGAGGGTTCCTTAGGGTTCCTTAGGACCCTTGCCCCGCTTAGGGATTCCATACCTGTTGCAATCGGTGACCCTGTGTGTGGGAGTCGGGACTTGACCAAGTTTGCGGTCTGGTTGGAAAGGAAAACCGAAGGAAAACCACGAGGGCAACGGAGTGTCGAAGTCAGCGAAATGGGTGTGGCGCAAAATTAAAGAGGAGGGGCAAACCGCAGGTTTTGGTCCATGTTCCCAACTACGGTTCCATTTTGGAGTTCCGGTTTTTGGAGCCCCAGCCACATCTGGCAATGGACTGGTGAGGTTTCGGTCAACTCCGGAGTTCCCTCTCAAAGTTCCGAGTCAGGGTCCGACCAAAGATTTCTGGCGCATGGCACCAAGGCCGAAAAGACACGGCTCCTGTCTCCTTTGGGGACACGGCCATAGGAATCAGTCAGGCATCTTGAGGGTTCTTTGTTTAGAGTTGATGCCTTATTTGTGGCAACCATAATAAAGGAATCCGCCACCAAACTGGGAAACTTTTGGCAATTAAGGGAGGTGCTGGTTTGGACCATTGACCTTTTAAAGGGACCCCCGAACGGCAGGCTCCATGTGACAAGGGTGGGAGAGTAAATGGAAAAGACCAAAACCTGCGGTTACCCTAGCTGGACATTCTTTTGAGCCAGACTCATTTACCCCTCTGTCTAGGCTGCAGCGAGCCGACCAAAGTGTCCACTTTAAAGCAATCTAGTCTAGTCGTCTGGGACCCCGAAACGTCAGGCTCCATGTGTGGACACTGCGATGTTGGATCCATCCACAAAGACCCTTCCTGTTTTAGGTCAGCTTTTGACCACAGTCATCGGGAAAAAACCCAGCAAAAGGCTAAGATACAACGAGGTAAAAATGTCCCAGAACGTGGGGAAAGAACTCCAAACTCCATGTGTTGGTTTCAGGAAAAGAGATGCTCTGTGTTGGCTCCAAAATCCCTTTTTTTGGGTTTCGGGAAAAAACGGCTCGCACGACTGAGCAAAACCCCCTAAAAACTGACTGAGCCAGAGCCCTCGCCTGGAGTACTCCACCTCCTGAGTTTGCGCCGCCAGGTGGCAGTATAGCTCCTGTTCGGCGAGGAGGCCGCGAGACAGACTGGAAAAGAACACCTCCTTGGGCAATACGGGGGCGTGGGTATCTAGGTCCTCCAGAAGAGAGGTTTGAATAAGGGTACCCTTTTTTTTCTGTAGTCTGTTTGGTAGGGGAACCCTCCCCCAAAACAAGGGGTGAGAAAGGGCACCTAGCTGGGGAACCTAGGTATATGGAAATGCCGGAACCTACCCTTTGGCCGCATGGGGTGTGTCTCAAGAGACCTTTGGACCTCCCAACAAGCTGGGCGAGTGAAGAACTTGCAGGTTAAATGGAAGCCCAGCCACTCAAGTCCTTTTGGTCCGAAGTGACTCCGGATTCATCAATTTCTCGGTGCCTTTTTGCTCGAAAGGGTGTCCCCTTCAAAAAACGGTGTCCCCCTTTCAGTGAGAATCCGGAGAAAACAAATGGCGGTTACGGCGGATCTGAAGCGATTGCGGGTGAACGCCGCGTGACCTGCATGTATGATGCGAGGGAATCGAGTCTGCATGATGTCCAACTTTTCTTCGCTGGGCACAGAAGAAAATAGAAAACCTCTTTGTTTGCCGAAGAAAAAGCAAGCCAGAAGTGGTTTGCAATGGTTCACCCCACAACTTGTGAGTGGGTCACAAACCAAACGGATGCCAACTTACGAACTTCATTAGCCGAACACCCAAGTGCTTGGTTGGAGCGGAAATCCCTGGACTGACAGGGGACACCTGCAGGAAATCCTGTCGCTTTTGGAGTTTGGGACCCCTTGCCCCTGATTGGTGGGCTTCGCAACTTTCCCACTTGCCCTCTGCAAGACCCAGAGCTTCAAATCCAAGTCCAAGCCACCAATTCGGGGTTCCTGAAATACATCCCTGGACGTTTCGCAGATGGTCGCCCCCCCCGAAAGAAAAAAAAGCAGACATCTGCTACGTTTTCCTTGGCTTCCAAACAAAAAACGCAACAACCAACCCAAAATTGGGGCACCCTGAGAAGAACAAAGAAACAACCAACCCAAAATTGGGGGCACCCTGAGAAGAAAAAAGAAACAACCAACCCAAAATTGGGGGCACCCTGAGAGAGAAAAAAAAGAAACAACCAACCCAAAATTGGGGCACCCTGAGAAGAACAAAGAAACAACCAACCCAAAATTGGGGGGCACCCTGAGAAAGAAAAAAAAGAAACAACCAACCCAAAATTGGGGGCACCCTGAGAAGAACACGTAAACAACCAGCCCAAAATTGGGGCACCCTGAGAAAGACAAAAAAGAAACAACCAACCCAAAATTGGGGCACCCTGAGAAGAACCAAGAAACAACCAACCCAAAATTGGGGCACCCTGAGAAGAACAAAGAAACAACCAGCCCAACATTGGGGCACCCTGAGAAGAACCAAGAAACAACCAACCCAAAATTGGGGGCACCCTGAGAAGAACAAAGAAACAACCAACCCAAAATTGGGGGCACCCTGAGAGAGAAAAAAAGAAACAACCAACCCAAAATTGCGGCACCCTGAGAAGAAAAAAGAAACAACCAACCCAAAATTGGGGGCACCCTGAGAAGAACCAAGAAACAACCAACCCAAAATTGGGGGCACCCTGAGAAGAACAAAGAAACAACCAACCCAAAATTGGGGGCACCCTGAGAGAGAAAAAAAGAAACAACCAACCCAAAATTGCGGCACCCTGAGAAGAAAAAAGAAACAACCAACCCAAAATTGGGGGCACCCTGAGAAGAACCAAGAAACAACCAACCCAAAATTGGGGGCACCCTGAGAAGAACAAAGAAACAACCAACCCAAAATTGGGGGCACCCTGAGAGAGAAAAAAAAAGAAACAACCAACCCAAAATTGGGGCACCCTGAGAAGAACAAAGAAACAACCAACCCAAAATTGGGGGGCACCCTGAGAAAGAAAAAAAAGAAACAACCGACCCAACATTGGGGCGCCCTGAGAAAGAAAAAGAAAAAAAACGCGGGGACAGCTCCCTTCAGCGTTCAGCCTCCGCTTTCGCGACAGAACCATCCCTCGCCTCCCGCTGCAGCTGCTCCGGGATGCCCAGACGCTTCCAGAGAGCATCGCGCAGCGCCACCTGACGAGACGCCGAAACGCCGAGAAATGCGGCGCCCCCGGTGTTCCAAGTTGGCGGCGCGAAAGAATGGGGAAAACCGCAAATGGGTAACCCCTTGGCTAGGTCCTCCAGTAAAGAGGTTAGAATAAGGGTGTCCGATTTCTTTTCTGTAGTCGATTTTAGTAGGGAAATTCTCGCCCCCAAAAAGGGCAAAAGGGGAAAGACCCAAACCCTGTGGAAAACTAGATGTGTTTACTTCGGAGCCACACCCATGAACGCATCCCTCTGCAAAGGATTGGTCTGGTGTGGCGGGTGTGGCTTTGGTTCAGTTGAATCCCTGAGGAATCCCTCCATTGTTCACCCACCCCCCTTCTACCTGCGCCCCTTAGTTGGTAGATGGCACAGTTCCCATGGCAATGTGCTTGCCACAGTCCCCATGGAGTGTGGGAAAGAAAATGGGAAACCAAATCAAACTGAAACGGTTGAAGAAAAGCAGAAACCCAACCCTTACACCCCAAAATCTGTTCAAAACCAAAGGAAGCAAAGACAGCTGGGAAGGCCTGCTCCTTGCGATCTGAGAAACGGATCTTTGGATTCGATGCGGGACCAAGGCACTTCCATCTACCAAAGGGGTGGCCGAAATTCAGCGGCTGGTGGAAATGATGCTGGCGCAAGAAATGAACGTCTACAGCATCAGATGTATTATGCGATCCTAGATCCACTGCAGCATGTCCTATAGAATTGTTCCTGTTTACCCAGGGGACATTTTTGGAGTTGGTGCCGCTTCTGGGGGTTTGAAGGGAACCCACAGGAACCCCCCACCATTTTGGGAGGGTTAAATCCTAAGAAACAGAACTGCGTTGCACCGTGAGTTTGGTACTTCGCATGCTGCACGCGTTCCGCCAACGTTGGCATCGTTGGGTGTACAAGATGATGCGGTGTACAGTGTACAGATGGGCCAGCCCAGATGGACCAGCAACACGAGACCAGTCCCGCTTCCTTGACCACGGATTTTGGTCTTCTAAGAGTAGAATGAAGTTCATCAGGAAATTGGACTATTTCTCCAAACAACCAGAACTTCTATAATCTACACATGTCAATCCATTTGTATTACACCTTAGAGTTTCTGTTGTCTTCTTATTTAATATCTCTTGTTATAAATGTTTACTCTGTGTGGGGCTTCAAAAACCCTCCCGCGTCGGCAATGACGAGCGACCGGTCGCCGAATCCGCCTCCCAGTCTTGGCCCGCGTCCATGCGCATGGACAGCGTCCGCAGGCCATGGCCGTCGGCGGCGCCGCCTCAACCAGTGAAAAAGCACGGGGCTGAGGTCCATGAGGGATCAAAGAATCCTCAAATGAATATACCACACTTTTGTGCGAGTGTGTGCATTATTGACATTTTACTGAGTATGATTGGAGGTTTACTTTACCCAGAAAAAAGGACGGGCTTGCCACATGCAACTCAACCCGCCAAGATGCCCTCTTTCTGCTTGGTCTTGACGATCAGCACGTGCTTGCAGTTGAGGATGAAGGCACCTGGGTGAGTGTCAATTAGATCCAAGGAAACTGACTTGGCCAATTTGTTGGGGTTACCCATTTTTAGTTGGTTTTGTCTCGGGAACCGGAGGGTGCTTTGCGTGGACCTCTCCCAGGAAGAGCATAGACCGTACGGGTTTCGAACAACTATACAGGTGTGATTGGACTCATTCTTGAATGGTTGTGACTAACTAGGTTAATTAGACTTCAAAGTCTCTATGAAAATTATGTTGGCAAGTTTAAAGGCATCGAAGCCGCGTTTCGGCATCGAAGCCGTGACTTTCACCCATCTCCGCTCCAGGTCCCAGGAGAAAGCTCCTGGAAAACTGGCCTGGCCAAGTTACATAGGCGGTTTTTTTGTTTGGGGGGGGTACCCTTTTGTGAGGCTCGAAGGCTTTTTGGAAGGTCCAACTTCAAAAACTACATCCATATCGTCTCAAAACCCAAAAAGAACCACCGGAAATGCGTGAAAAGGCACCTGACGCTTCTCCTTCGTGGCTTGGCTAGGGGGGCTGAATGTAGGAGGGGTGGGGGGGGGGGGGCTGGAGGTGTCCAGCTCCAGGCTCACTCCTGCCATGGGAAACTGGCAGCAACGCGCAGTGAAGGGATCCTGGGAAGGAAGAGTGGTCATCTTTTGGGGCCACTCCAAAAAAAAAATGGGAACCCAAAGAGGGACAAAACTCAAAAGGTCGGAGGTTTTGGTCGATTCGCTTCGGAGGAGCGGCCCCAAGTGGATTGAGCTTCTCGCTTCGGTTCGCGGGCCCAACCAACCCCACTGCCCCACTGCTTTCCGACCGAAGCGCAGAGCCAGACTTTCACCACTCGCACTTGCCGCACCAGCTCATTGCTCACCACCTGCCAATCCGAATTGATTTCTGCGCCACATCGATTGGAATCGTGCGGTTGCTTTTTTTTCGTTCGAAGGCGGGTCCAGTCCGAAAATGGGCCCCCCAGCACCCGGGTCCCAACCGCTACCTTTTGGATAGTTGAAACTTTGGACATGGTTGAAAAAGCAAGGTTGAGACCCGGGACTCGGGCGCTAAGCCCGAACCTTTTCTGTACCAAAAATGGATGCAAGGAGACACGCTCCCCTTGGGGCCCTTACAACGGGTGTGGCGACCCATGGAAAGGGGCCTTCGAGTGTGAGGTGCTAGGTGCTTGCCCTTTCACAGGCTTCCCGAAAGATGTCCTCCTTAAACGTCACCCTAAAGGAAACTCACTGGCAAACCAAAAGTGTTTCAAGCCACGAGCCTCAAACCCTTTTAAAGGCGGTGGCTTCCCTTGATTACTTTGAGGCTCCCTTGGTGGTTGGAACTAGTTCGAATTGGACACGACCAAATCGAATTCCTAATGGGGAAAGTGGAGGCACTTTGGGCGCGTTTTCTGACAGACCAATCTCGTCAGTGTTTTTTTGGGGGGCCTATGGAATACTGGGACCCCCCCTTCTTGCGTTTTTTGGCGCCGGGAATGAGAGTTCTGGAATGACCAAGAAAAACCATCCGTCCGATTTGCTTTCAATTTCTCCGATCCCCAAAATTTTGGTCCTTCCCACCCTCCCTATCGCAGCAAGGAGAAAGCCCGGGAGGGGGGGGGCACCAAAACCCCGTTTCCTCGTCTCATTCGGCCCCGTTTCCTCGTGCTTTTTACCCGCCTGGAGCCGGGAGAGCCGCTTCTCCTGGGCGGCAAGAATCTTGTTCGACCGGCAAGCTGAAAACTGCCGGTGGCGCTTCGTGGGCCTAAAACCCCTTGAAGAAAACCCTCCAAAAAACCAAAAACCAAATACCCTAGCCTAAGAAATCAAAAAAAAACAGGGGGAACAAAAAACACGACGAACTGAACCAACCCAAAAGCAAGAGCAACACACCTCAGGCACCGTGGCCAAGTCTCGTAGACCTCCTCGTGGAGCTCGCAGAAGCTCCGAGGGTCCGAGCAATCGACGCCGTGGAGCTGCAGCAAACGCAGCAGCTCCTCGCCGCCGATCCGCGCTCGTTCGTTGGCTCAGCCGCCGGGTGGAGCTTCCCCGTCGGTGTTTTTTGGGGTCAAAGGATTTGAATGTTCCGCTCTTAGTTAGAACACTTGAGGATTTGGTGGACTCCGGATTTTTTCTGGCCTCTCTGGCTTGCCATCGCTACGATAGGTGATGAGAATTGGAATGAACCCAGACGTTGTCCCCTTAAAGGGAATTGGAATGACCAAGAAAAACCATCCAACTGGTGGTTTCTGTAAGGGGACCAACGCCCGGGTTCATTCCAATTCTCGTTCCCTGCTGAGCACCAACACGGGTCCTTTTTCAGGGCTCCCGATAATTATCTCCCTTTTGAACATCATACCAAAACAAAACCCACTTGAAAGTGGCCCAAAAGGTGATGTTTCACACCATAAAAAAGGGGGACATATAGGTATGGGTTCATGGCTCAGAAAAATTCTGTGGGCGCTCCTTGTTTGCAACCGGGCTGAGGGTCCAAAAGGAAATGTGTTTTTCGGGGGCCAACTCCGAAATTCTTATGGGCGGATCGGATCATGACTTGTTTGGGGCCAACTTGATCATACCCTCGTACCCCCCCCCAAAGTTGCCAAAGGAAGGGGTCTTTTGATCATGGCACATATGGAGTCGTGCCAGAGGGATGGGTGGCACCCCTTGGATGCGCCCCAGGATTCTCGGATTCGGCACACCATGAACTGAAGAAGCTTTTGCAACTGTCCTTTTCGGCAGAACCCTTTTGTTTCAAACTGGCCTCAATATTTTACCATAATCAAAGTCACCCCCTAAGTGGTGGGTTCAAGGAAACAACCCATTTTCTGACTTTGATAACTCCCAGAAACCGTCAAAATAATGACCCCAGTTAAATGTAACTTCGGGAGCTTCCAAGAAGCGAGGGCTGGGTTACTGCAAAACCTTCTTCTTCATAACCCTGCAAACTTTTGGCAGGACATCTTTGAAGAGCCTGATTGTTTCCCCTTTCAACATGGGGGATAGGGTTATAATGCAGGTGCAGAAGTCTTTTGTCCCATTTGGTTCAGGAGTCCGGCAAACCAACCAACTGAACCACCTACACTAAACCAAAGTGCTTTGACTGGACTCATCTTTTATGCCTGCCAGGGTCCTTGTCCTTTGCTTCCCCTTGAAAACACTTCACCCCCCAAACTCCGGCCCAAAAGGTCCAAGGTTTAACCCCCCTAATGGGCAAATGTTTTGGTCGCCCGAACTTTCGGAGGAAGCCTCCGCCCAAATGTCAAGCTTAAAACCATCCAAAAGCTTCAATGATTGGCACTTCTAAAGTGGACAAAATGAGCGGGTTTCAACTGCTGGACCTGGACATCATTTTCACTTGGGACACTGAACAGAACCCCAAGCCTACTGAACCCTTTTTGGCGGCTGACCAGCGAACCGACCTAAAAATTGGGCAGTGATGGCCAGCATTTACACACAGATGCCCGGTTTTAGGAGTGCCCTTTGATTCTTTGTGGCTGCAAAGCGCCTGCCCCATGTTGCCCCAAGGCTTGCCAGCCAAGATTCAGCTTCCCCCTAATTGGCGGTTTGGCAGTTTGGGACGATTTCCCCCTTACCCTCTACAGGAACCAGGGGTCAAATCCAAATCCACACCACCAATCAAAACCACCACGCGGGGGTTGCCCGCTGTTTCCCCAGAAACCCTAAGACGAAACTCAGACGGGACTCCCCAGGATTCGACAAGGGGACATCCACTTTTTGGGCTCTCAAAATGGGACCCTTTATATTTCTGTATGGTGAATCAAATGGAAACCCAACCACTAAACCGACTGAAACCATAAACACTTGTGCAACCGGACGGCTGGGAACAACCAAACCAAAAGGACACCCCTGCCATGTTCGGGGACCCATTACTCTGTGAACCAATTCGCAAAGCCCATTTTGCGTCTGGCAAAAAATCCACCTGTTTGGAGAAAAAAGGTCACCGCCCGGAAAGAATAAAAAAACAGAAAAACGCACGCTCATTCGCATCTTCTTGCAAACATTCGATGGCAAAACCCATCTAAACCAAGGGAACCTATTGTAAATACGCTTAAAACCCCACCTAAACCAGCTAGGTCCTCCAGTGGAGAGGTTAGAATAAGGGTACTAACTTTTTCTCTGTAGTCTATTCTACTAGGGTTTTACCCTCCCAACCAAAAACGAAAGGGTTAACGTTGGCACCTAGCTGGGGGACCTAGCCAGTGGAACCCCCGGAGTCGCGGAATCCGCTTCGGCTCCTCCTCGCCCTTGGCCTGGGTGACCTCTGCCCAGGTCCAGTGCCGCTCCTCATCGCCCAGTTGGGTGGTGAAGTCCGTGCCCTCCGGCAGCCCCAGGCAGGACAGCTCCGCCTGCGAAGGGCTCGACCGGAAGTCACCCAGCGGCTGGCGGGGAAAACTGGTCACCTGAGACCTGAGGAGATTGTTGAGCCTAAGATGGGCGTGGCTCAGTGTTTTTGAAGAGCTAGGGTTGCGCAGGCGTTGGTCTTTGTTTCCATTTACCTCCACTTACCCAGGGGCCATTTTGGGTACATGTTTTTGAGCCATTTCATAAGGGGGGGGGGGACTTTCCCTGGGTTTTGTGGGGAATCATCACTGCAGGAGAGCACCCCCTATGAATAAACAGGACATTAGTCACCTGAGGTATAACCCCCTTATAACAAGTTTTAACACCACATTCACTGGGGACTTATAAGTAGGTTACAACCAACGGCTACCAACAACGGCCAAGTTGAGCAAGTTGTTAGCAACCGTTTGGTTTTAACCCACAAGTCCCCCTAAGTGGGGTTACCACTTACCAATTTGGCCGAACATCCAAGGAAGCAATGCAAATTTACGAAGCCTGACTTCAGGCTGGTTACAAGGGGGTACACTGGCCAGACAAAAGTTGCGCTTCTTCAAGGTCACAGCGATTGCAACCCTTTCCCCCTAGAATCCTTCAAGAAGAGACCTACGGGAGTCTGCGCGGTCAATTTTTGGACCCGGAAACGCCGTTTCATACTATAAATGTCAAGGAGCGTGAGAATTGACCGTCCCTCGCCTGCCACCACCAATCGGACTTAGTCGATTCGATCCGCGGCTGACATGAACTTGACTTGCAAACCCTCATGTTCACCTGATTCAAACAATCACACGTGGGTGGAAGTTCGGGCTGGCGAGTATGTCCCAAGCGGCCCGAAGGGCGTGCTAACTCCAAAAAATACATACCCAAATCTCACATGAAACACGCGCGTCTTTTGAGCGGGTACCATGGCTGGCTTAAGGAAAACACCAGAAATATCCATGTTGGGTCCAAATCCCAAGACAAGCCCACATACGTGTGGCGAAAAATGAAACAGCTTGGGCAACGCGCCGGTGAAAGTCTTTGGTTCCAAAATTCCAGGGTTCCAATCATGTTGGGGATTCCATCGTTGGAGCAGCAACTATGTCTACGTGTTCCTTTCTTTTTTCTTGTGTAGTTGCGTGCGTGCAAAGCGGCCTTAGAGGGGTTCTTCACCATGATCACGATCTTGTGCGTCTTGTAGGCCGTCGGAATCCCCGGCACCGTCCTCGAGTCAGCCACCGTCTCCTCGTAGGAGTAGGCCTGCTGGTCGATGCTGAAGCAAAGCTGCTGCCTGGGAAAATGAACGTGAGGTCTGTTGAAACACAAGCCCATGGAGGGTACAAAAGAGAAACGAAAAGGCGAAACCCATTCTCGAAATTTCGCACAAGAAGAGAAAACAATGGAAGACATGAGAAAACAGGCCGTCATGCTCAGCGGCTATGCAGGCATGGTTTCGCTAAAGGGCAAAGACCAAACAAACAACTGTCATGAAAGACACCAAAACCAGACCGGAGAGTCCATTCCTAGTTTCCAATTTTGGGGTACCTGTGTGTGACCCACGGCCAAATAACAGAACCGCATTTCCCTTTCAAAAGTACCCCCACAAAAACACGGACGCCATGCTGGCCCCATGCTTTTTCGACCCCAGTCAGGCACTCCCGGAGAAAAAAAAACTCTCTTTCAACAACCACTTGTTTGCTTCCCTACTTGGATGTCCGTCGCCAGGGTCTGTGGCACGCCAATTTGGGGTTTTCCGCCCCAACAAGATATGAACCCAACATTTACGGGGCACTTTTGGTGGGTAAGCAATCGTTTTGCTACAACTTACTTGGCACTGAACGCCCAGTGATGGGTCGTGCTATTTTTGTTTCATCCCATGTCCAAGCCTGGCACCCTGCGGAAGCAACCCAAAAGAACCCACCGACCCCCAAAAAAAAGGAGGTGAAATCTGGGGTGTTCGTTGCCAAGTAGGTTGCAACAGTGCACCGCTTGGTTACCCACTCACAAGTCCCTGGTGAATGTCGGCGAACCTTGTGATTGATGTTGAGCCCCTATCAATCAACCCCAGTTTATTAATAGGGGGGTGTTTCCCTCCAAAAGTGAACAATCCCCACTAAAACTAGGGACACCCCCATTTTCCATAAACAGGGGTTCATTCGGGAGCTATACGTACCCAGCCAATCACCTGGCCGAACATCCAAGAGGGCCGGTAACCCGAAGCTGGTTCCTCGCTGAACTGGCGGACTCGCCTGACTGGCCCCCCTTTTTGCAGGATCCGTTCCTGGGCCCTCCGATCCCCTGCCAAAAGTTTAAGTTCTAGTGGGCGAAATGGAAACTACCATCATTCTTTTTTCAAAAACCGGATCTGTTTCCCCTGGGTGTTTGATGGTTAAATGGAAACCCAACCACGAAACGCTGAAAGGCGAAAAAGCTGCGGAACCTCCTCCCTTCTTCGGCGGAAAAAGAGAAGTCAGAGCGCTGCACGGCGCTTCATCTCAATGGTCCGCTTTTTCTCCATCGAAGCCGCGTTGGCTTTTATAGGTCAAATCCAAATACCCGATCCAAAGCAAAGGGGAACACCATGGAAGCTCCAAGGCAAGTTCTAAACGCGGCAAAAAACACTTGGAGTGGGTGTTCGGAGTGCTTGTCTGGTCGAGACGAAATCTAGGCTTTCTTGAGAACCCCAGTTGAATCCGGAGTTGAAAAAAGGTTTGCAAAATATGTACACCCGAGTTGAAAACCGCTTGCAAAATCTCGCGAAATCCTGCAAGTTGAAGCCGAGGAAAGAAAAAAAAAAACTTGAACTCCCCGAGTTGAATTCCCCGCGGTGGTTTATCTTTTCAGCTCCGGGAAAGAGAGCCGAGGAAGGCCGAGGAGAGCCAGTTGAAAGCAAACCGAACGCCGAGCCCGAGTTGAAACAACCCGAGTTGCAAAAACCGAAAAGAAAAGGAACAAAGAGGAAAGCTGAACGTCTTATTTTTGAACCCCCGAACGGCGAAAAAACAACTAAAGGACCTAGGGACCGGATCGCCGGGGCAAACAAGACAGATAGAGACGGACGTTCCCATGTCCTCTTGGGGCAAGTAGATGGGTTTCCCTGGTAGATGATATTGAACCGCCAGGTAAACCAGGACTCGCCATTACAAAAATAAAAATCGACCAAAACCACCTCTCTGGTGAGAGGTGTTTTCCGAGAGTGGGGTCCCAAGTTTTCCGAGGCGCAGGTCGGGCTCCAGGCCGAAGTTCTGGAAACACCGCTGCACCGCCCTGCGCCAGGTGTCGCCGTCCCGGAGAGCCATGGCCAACGGCCGGTTCCTCGCCCAGTCGGAGGTATCCGGTGGGGGAGGGAGTGGGGGGAGCTTGGGGGTAGCTTGGGGGTGGGGTTCATCTTAAGGGGGGAGGGGGGTCTGAAGGGGAGGGGTCTTGGGGAGGGGTGGAGGGGGTCCTTGAGTCGCCTTCCAGGCGCCCAACCACTTCTTGATGGGCTCTCGGGTTCCTATGACACAAGCGGAAAAGTTGTTCGGGGGGGGGGGGGCTGGACATGCTTTCCGTTTTCCTGGATTGTCCATTTGTGAGTGAGCTCTTCATGAAACTTCAAGATGGTAGGGTTGGGGTTGACGGTTTGGCGTGTCTGGTCCACGGATCGGAACAACTTGTTAAAAACAACCAGACCCTGGGCCGTAAGCAGGCTGTTCAAACTTGATGTGGTATTCCTTCTGGTTTCCCTAACTGAAAAAGGGTGCCAACCCAAGAAACAAGGAATTTGCTACAACCAGACCGGTGCCTTTGGAGGAAAGCCAAAAGGTTGTTCAACCACGATGGAGGACAAAATAGCTGAACCCCTATTTTAATGGTTGCTTACCGTTTTCCGGTGTCCCTCTAAAACCCCACCTGAAAAAGGGCGTAAACATGTTCTCAGTTCCGCAAAGGACTGAAGAAATGCTCGGAGATCACTTTCTCGGGGCATCAAACATGGTGGCCAAAATGAAGATTCCAAAACTGCCGATTTGGTTTAGATGTTTAGGCAAGTGAGTGTTGCAACCGGGTTTGTCCTGTTTTAGAGGACCCCAAAATGGTGGGTTTGCCCTTTGGTTCCCCTTTGGTAGATGTTCTTTTTTCGAGGGTTGGTTTTCCGCAGGGCTGTCAACATCCCCAACATTACCAGCCTCACTTGGCCCAGGGTTGCTTATTGGCTCTGATTGGGAGGCAGTTGGGAGTTGCTGGGGTTTGGGCTGGCTTAGATCTTCATTAGGGTGGGTCTTGTGGTGGTTTGGGGTTGATTTAGGGCGGACATCCAGCTGTTGGGCGGGTTTAGGGTTGACTTTGGCTGGATTTGGGGTTGGCTTGGAGCTGATTTGTGCTGGGTGTACTGCTGGAAAAACGGTGCCTTTTTGAAGATCTAAGCCAGCCTAAACCCCCCCTAACTTAAACCAGGCAATAAAAAAAACCTCCGGGCCAACTGCCGGGGATCCGGCAAGCCCAACCAACCAACCAACGAACCAACCAACCAGCCAGCCAACCAACCAACCAAACCAACCAAACCAACCAAACCAACCAACCAACCAACCAACCCAGCCCTACTAAAAACAGAAAACCGCCCTAGGAAATAAATATACATTAATATATATATATATATATGTATATATATAATTATTTTTGGTTGGAGAAAAAAGAAGAAGAAAACAAACGGCTCCGTTCCCCTTTTCACCGGCCCCCGCCTCTCGCGCGACCCGTCCGGGCTCACCACGCACTTGATGCGCAGCTCCCGCTGCTTGCCCCAGGGGCAGCGCACCCGCAGGGAGATCCTGCGACATTTGGCCGTCAAAACCGTTTTGGGATCCCATTTTGGTGGGTAGGTGAATTCACCACCCATGTTAGAACCTATTTTAGTGGTTGGATTGGGATGTTCACTGGGGGTACGGGATGTCGAGCCATGGCCATCTTTTTTCTGAGGAGCCCACTCGGGTGTTCGGCACGTGCTTGGCCAATTGGCTCACCCTTTCTTGGGAACCCCTTTTTTGGTGCAGCGAAAGGGAAACCAAAGGAATATGTTTCCAGTTCTATTAGAGTTGCTTCCCCCTTGTCTGGTGGATTTAAAAGACAGCCCAGAGGAAAAAAAACACCCTCTGGTTCGGTGCCGATTCGCCACAATACCCATACACCCACTCCCACACCCACACGCGCACGCGCACGCCCGCACGGTTCGCCCAAGGCGAACCAATCCAAAAAAAAAAATGAATCCGGTCCCGTAGGTTCCCTAGCTGAAAAGGAATCCTTGGGTCACGGCCATCGCAAGTTGCGACCCTTTCAGACACGTCACAAGTAAGGACTTGAACCCAGAGCCCCGAAATCTGGGGACTTCTGTCGAGCTCAGAGCCTTGAGCTTGGGTCAACCTGGAGACAAAGCCTCATGGCTGGTCGGCTCGTGTACCCGATTCATCTGGGAGAAGTGGGGCTGGTCGAATTTCCGCAACGGAAACAGCTAGCCGAAGCGAATGACTTTGGTAGAGCTCCCCTTGGAAGGATCAAACGTGGGCCGTCCTTCCCGCCCGCCTGCATTGGGGTAGGAACTGGCCGGCCAGGAAACCCCGACTCGGTCATTTCTTGTACCGGCCCAGGAAGTGTTGCCCATTTGAGTGGCAATCGGTGGATGGACGAAAGCAAACCATGGGAAACTAATGTTTGTTGGTGATTTCAGGGGAATCTGTTTTTTTCAGGGGAATCATCATTCCAGGGTTTTCTAGTTGGTGCAGGATTTCGTCCATCCACAGTGGAACATTCTGGAGACATGACAACACGGGCTCAACCAATCGGGTAAAAGGAGCGCTGTGCTCCATAAAGGTCTTGCTTACCTGTCACATTTGTATGTTTGGTTCATGAATCATAGCAATAAATGTTGGGCGACAACTCCCCTCCTCCCCCACCGTTTCTACGTGGATGGTTTCCTTTGGTGTCCCTTCAAACCACTCCAAAAGGCGCACCAACTCAAATAAAGGAACCACATCCACTGAACTGAGATGCTGGAGGGTATCTTGGGGGGGGGCGGGTTCTGGCAAAGATCCGGCCTGACGAGCTCAACGTGCCGCCGCAGGGATCCGTTGACCTCGAGGTAGCTATTCTCTTCCTCCACCACCTCCTCCCATCGCACATGACGTGGGAAAAAGGTCGGCCATGGTCAAAAAAAATGTTTTGCCACATGGGTACCCCAATTCTTGCCCGGTGTCAAAGGAAGATCAAAAGGAAAACCACAATCTTTGGGGGGGGGTCCTTTGAAAGGAACACACACACACACACACCTTTTGACTTAGAAGAGAAAAAACTATCTGGTGATGTGTGGGGGAGGTAATGCCTACAAGGAGCAAGAACTTTGTGCAAAAAAAAACACGCCGGCTATGTGTTCAAAACATGTGATGCCATGTAAGAAACCATATTGGCTTTGCGCAAAAAAAGAGTCCGCGATGTTTTCCCAACATGTGAGCATACAAGAAAAAGAACAAGTGTGTAGTCGAAAATGAAAACTTTGGGTCCCTCTAACTCAAACTTGCTGCCCAAGCAAGGCCCAGGCTGGCCTTCTTGGAACCCCAGGCAAATGAAAGCAGCCAGCCGTGCTTTCCGAACATGTGATGCCCAAATAGGAAAACGCCGGCGTTTAGGGTGATGGGCGAAGAGAACAGAGGGCGTGTCTTGAAAACCGGTCCAAACCCTCGCTCGACGCTCGAAGCTCGCTTGCTCAGAACTCTCCCCGGCCCGGTTCGAAGTCACCCCCAAAAACAACCTTTGACTTACTTGACCAGCATGGGCTTCTTATGTTTTTCAAAAACAAGAAGATATGTTCTTATTCAAACCCAAACCCAATGCGTGTGTTTACACAAAAATCGAGGACAAATTGAGTGAGCAATTCACGTATACAATCATATACTGCAATGATAATATACCAACCATAACCACAAAACTGATGATGATGATGATGATGATGATGATGATGATGATGATGATGATGATGATGATGATGGTGATGGTGATGGTGATGGTGATGGTGATGGTGATGATGGTGATGGTGATGATGATAATGATGATGCTGATGGTGATGGTGATGGTGATGGTGATGGTGATGGTGATGGTGATGGTGATGGTGATGGTGATGGTGATGGTGATGGTGATGGTGATGGTGATGATGATGATGATGATGATGATGATGATGATGATGATGATGATGACGCTGATAACGCTGATAATGGTGCTATGATACTAATAACAACAATAATAGCAACGATATTAATAAAACAGAATCTCACTCGGTCGCTCGGCTCAAGTCAAGAAAAGCAGCAGGGGCAGCTGTCTGCGGCAAACAAATACCTCCAAAAGGGCTCCCGCGCTTTTTCACCCGGTCTTCAAGATCACCCTTCGGGTCAATGTGGGTCTGTCTTTATCTTGAGGCTCAGTAGCTTTTGTTGTGATGTCTCAAGGGAACCTTGAAACCAAGCGAAGCGCGCCTAGGTTGGCGGCGGGGTCCCTTCGGAGTTCCCCACATGTTGTTTGCTTTGAGGGACTCCTTGAGGGAAAAGATGTGAGAAACCTCCGCGGTTTTGAGAAACTGGGCGATTTTTTGCCCGTTGTCCGCCAAAAAGATCTTCCCCAAAGGGCACCCTCAAAAAAACGACGCACTGTTGCAACAAAAATAGATGGCCCTGGAGAGAATTGGGCATAAAAACCAATCTAAACCAGTGGAACGCACCTGTGTCTAGCCAAACCAACCGATCAACAGGACGCCTATGCTCATTTGGGTAAGTATTCAAAATGAAACCACCAGAAAATAAAACAATAATATATATATATATATATAACATTAAAATACACACACACACAGGTCTTACTCAACTTGTTTCTATTTACCAGGTTGCCACCCATTTTGGGGGAGGTTACAAAACCGTTTTCTACCGCCGCCCTTTGGCTCTGAGCTTCTGGGTGGTTTCTGCTCCCCTGCTAAAAGCTTAACTGTTCGTGGTTCAATGGAAAACCCATTAGCTGGCAAAAAGTTAAAGTCCTAACATCCCTTGGCACCATGCACCAAAGTTTTGGTCCTACCAACTATATAAGGGCTTATATAGGCAGCCAGGTAGTAGAACCATCTGCTCATCTGGCCGGTTGATGGGTGTCTCTTGTTTGCCGCTTCCTTGGGTGATCTTAAAAAAGGAAGACCAAAAGGAAGATCCTTGCGACATTTTCGGGGACCTTTTAAAAAAGACACACACCCACCCATCTCATGGGTCACTTCCGGAGGTTTTTCCTCCCCTCCGCCGAAAGCTCTCGCCTGGTAAAACTGCCGCACCGTCTTGGCGGCGCCCTTGCCGAAGCGGCTCAGGTCCACCTAAACCGAGCGAGGAGGAAGAAGGATCCCAAAACGGGGCCCGAGGGGATGTGATGCTTTTTGTTTTCCATTAAGGGCTTGGGTCAGAAGCGAAGATGTGTTTGTATGTTCAAAAGCAAAAAGTTGTTTGTTATGATATACTTTCAAAAGCAAAAAATGTTGTTTGTATGTTCATCTGTATTTCATTGGGGCACTTCCATTCAATGGTTTGTTCGGGACATATATCATATTCATTTCAGCGCACTGGTATCTGCTCCGATTCCCGAATAAATACCGACAAAGGCTATGGTTTCAACCATGGTTTCAAAGTAGTGCAGGATGTCGTCTATCCACAGTAATTAGGTGTCTTCTAAGCTTTGGGAAAAGTCAGCGGAGCTGAGGCTAGATGTTGCATCGGCGTTGTGATGAAGTGCGTGTTGAACATAGGTGTCCTTGTGGCGAAAACGGACCGCCCTAGTAGATTGTGACACAACTAGGTCAACTAGGGCCATCTACTTTCAACCAAACTGAGCTAAAACGGACAGCTATACAGAAGGCGAATGTGGTGGCTCAAACGAGGGTTGAAGAAAGAGTAGCCAAGCCAAAAAAATCACACTTTTGTGAGGGTGTGGGGGATTCCACCGACTGAAAGCGCGCGGTTTCAACAGGATACCAAGGGAACAAGTCTTGAAACAGCTTCTTCCGATTTCTGGTTTGGAGCAGAATCGGTGATTTGCATGTGTTGTTCAAATTTCCCATTTACCCTCAAGAAGGGGGGCTTCAAATCCGAATCCAAGCCACCCAAATGGGTCTCTTTTCTGCGGGTGCTAGTTCCGCGCTTTTTAAAGCGGTCCCCTAAAAAAAGACACAAGCCAGGGTTACCTGATTAAAGCAGGAATCGGACCCCTTTCCGCCTTTCAGCCTTTCGGCCGATGGTCCCGAGAAAACCACGCATCAGCTTCCCTCGAATTGGTTTGGATTGGAATGATTTCGTTGTTGAGGAATGGTTTCGCATTAACCCTCCACAAGAACCAAGGCTTCAAATCCCCAAACCAAGAAACCACCAATCAGAGGAATTCGGAACTCAAGGGATCATCTTCCAGCAGTGAGGAATCTACAGGAAACACAAACCTTCCCAAGTCCAGGATGGTTGGGTACTGCCAAGGGGTCACCCCACGCCAAACGCCGCAAGGGTGCTTCCCAAAATAGTCGGTCCCCGATTTTGTTGCGGTATCCTTCCGGTTTTCCCTTCCCAAGCAAGGCCCTTACACCAAGAGAAGCTCACCTGGGGCCCGCAAAAGGTGAAGGTCCATTTTGCGATCCCCCAAACATCGAACCTCTAAAATGGCCCAAAAAGCTCAACTTGGTTTCCCGTACCACAAGGGCCAAGGCAACCATCAAATGACTCTCCCCGAAACCTCAAGCAACCCAAGGCCCAGAAAAACTACCCCCCCCCCCGTTTTCATGGGATATGGGTGTGTCTTTTTTTTGAGGTGCCCCGGCGTTTGGTGGATTTAAAGGGAAACCAAAAGGACAACCGGGGGGTTAAACAAGACACACCCATATACTGCCAATGTTCGAGACTCTTCTGGCCGATTGGGTCATGGTTCCCTTCGTGAGAGTCATGAAATACCCCTCTCGTGCTCGCATCAAGTCACGGGAATTCCTATAATGGCGATTCGGATCCTTACTGCCGGGTAGATGACCATTCCTGTTAACCTTCAAGTTCAGGAAGGGTTGGTTCCCCTTTTGGTAAGGAAATCATCTATTTGCCCCTAACAAGTTGTTAACCCTACATGCATGGAATGGCCGCTAAACCGACTAAAAACGAGCCGGACAGCAGGGACCCATTCCCATGAGAGCCTTTCCCATTGCTCAGGGGCAAGAAATCCCCCCCGATTTGGAGAACCCATGCTTGGTGTTCCTGTATCCAGAAATCCGGCGGTGTCCAACTTGAATGCAACGGAACTGCTCGCTTCCAAGCTCACCCATCTCACGCGCTTTTGGAAGGCCCAAGCCCCCACCTGCTTCCCCAGCATCGCAGAGAAGTCTTCGAACCGCATCTTCCTCAAAATGCTAGACCGTGGAAGCGCAGTGATGACAATTGTGGGAACTCAATATGTACATGCACGTAAGGCATGTCTATACATATATATGTATCATGGGTAGCTGTGCATATATATATATATATCATATATGTATACAGAAGTACATATTATTCATCCACATTCCACATATTTATTTACGCGTCCACGTATGTATGCTCTTATTTACACCCTGGACCCCCCCCCCCTCCCCCCGGTTGGCGCAAATGGGTCTGAATGGATCCTGATAACAGATATGGCGGTGAGGCGGCACTATATCTTCTATGGCAAGTGCTCGATATCTTAAAACCGCTGCGGAGCATGCAACAGAAACAAAATCGGTCATGCTACGCTGCAAAACTCATGCAGCGCAAACGCACATGTTACACAAGCGATAGTTGTGTTTTGCCAGTGATGCGGCCTTTCACCAAAGGAATAGCATACCCATAGGTGACCTTTCGAACATTGATGGCCCTGGTAAATGGAATGGAATGCAACCAATCTAAACCAGTGGAACCTGTCTAATTCCAAGCAAACTAACCTAGAAGCCACACCTATGGTCACACCGTATAGTGTTCCCGCATTCTGAACATATGGGGTTCATGCGGGTCCCTTTAAGAGGAATATAGTCCAAACCAGGAACCGAAATGAGAAGCAACGTTGTGCGGGTCGGGAAACCTGAAAAGCTGTCACACGGTTCCTAAAGCCTTCCAAAGGGTGAACCCCCCAAAATGGCTTCGGTCATTTGATTTCCCCTTCAGGCCACAAACACACGGGAGCCTCCAAAGAAAACAACACACCCTTCTCCGCTCTGGTGGTTTGGAGCTTCGAAGATACCCATTCATACAATCACCAGCTGTCCAAATCCGCCGAGCCGAGACCGGCCCGTTTTTGAACGAGGGCGGCCTGAAATCTGAAATGACCTCGCCTTCCCGAAAAGAACCGTTGGGGAGGAGAACCCAAAATCTACGCGGGATTCTCCAGAACCCTCTCACATGTTGATGTGACCCCCTCGAGCTCAGACTTGTCAAACGTGTATGGTTACATCTTTATCCATGGCCATTAATTATACCACACACACACACACACCTAGCTGCGTAATACATATATATATATATGCACATTTGCGCATATGTGGTAGGCCGGAAGGTCCCAAGCAAACAAATGTATCTGTCCCACAAGGGATATGGGTCTGTTGTTGATCGGCCGTTTTTGTGGCTTAGGGGAACCCAAAAGGAAAAGTTCATCGAACTGTGCGCAAGCTGCTCGCTGCCATTCTCGCTGGAAAGGGGTGGAGTGGTGGCTTCCTCATCCAAGACCTGCAAAGGTGACGGCTTCGGAAGTCGAACTTATAGAATCTGGGAAAACGTGGTTGGCTTCGAAATTCGGCTTCCCTTCTTGGTGAGTGAGAATGAAAACCCGGAAATTCAGTCTTGTCGACCCAAAACTATGTGTGCTCAAAACTCCGAAAAAAAATGTGACAACCACTCAACACAATTGCTGGAAACTGGGAATTTACTTTCGTCCCGGAATTGTGAAACTGGGCTTCGCAAAAACCACAAGTCCATCACTCGGCCGGCCGTGGTCGGATCTTACACCACAAGTCCGAGGGCTGGTTCTCATGATGTGGTTCGCTTCCCTCCACATGTAGAACATGTAGGGTCATAATCAAAACCCACCGTAAAGAATTAAGAAGGCGGATATCCGCAGCTATGTATGGTTGGGATTGTCCCTCACTCACCTTCATCTACCCGAATCGGTTTTGATTGTGGCTCACGTAGGGTGAGTCAAAACTCCTATGGCCTATGGGTTCCCTAGCCTGTTAATCCCAAGCAAAGGAACCGGTCAGAAGTGACCGTATGGTCTCTCACCCCAACGCGCAAAGCCCCACGCAGGGACACTCGCTGCTAAAAGCGAGTCGAGCGGCACGAAAAAATCCCAGCAAAACCCGGGTGAAGTGAGCCGGGTGGGCCGGGTGGGGCAGCCTGAGGGCTTCTCCAAAAACTTGATGGTTTCACCTCTGAGGGTGTTCGGCGTTCCCTGAGCCAGGAAACTCGACTTGGCGCCGGGTTCCCAGTACCAGGGTTCCCCACTTCAACCCCCTCAAAGGGCATAACTCCCTGTCTTAGCAGCTCAGACTCTCGGAGTCCCCCAGCCCCAAGCGAGGCTGTTTTCAGTGTGGCAGATTGGATCCAACAAGGATCATGCGGAATCCCCCAGATCCCTGCCAACTGGCAACAGTGGAACCTATGTTGCCATATGGACCCCTAAGCGCGGCTGTGGAAAGGGGAAGGGCTATCCCGAGGCCTTGAGGGCTTGTCCTTGAAAAAAAATGCCCCGACCAGGGGTGCAAATGAACATGAAGCAGCAGGGGGTGAACCCCCCCCAGCCAACAAAAACACACACACACACACAAAAAAAAAAGAAACAGCCAGGGGGCGAAATCGACTCTGGGGCCAGTTTTTCCCGCGATCCCAAAACGCTCAAAACTTTGGCCTCCGTAAAGGCGTCGAGGTAGAAGCTCGAGCTCCGGCCCAGGATCATACTCGCGAAGCGCAGAGCACTCAGCTGCTCCTGGACAAACCACCGGCGTCACTGCAGTCGATGTTTTTCTTTTCTCGGCGTTTCCGCGCCCACGTTTGGCGGTAGCCTTTCTGGACAGGGGCCACAAGACTGCTTTTGGAGGCTCCAAAAAGGGCAGAAACGAGAACTGGAATCCGTTCACTCATGCACCAGGCAATGCTTGAACGCTTCCGCAGCGGGCAACCAGCGCAACAGAGTCATGATCAAACCCAATGAACAGCCACTTGCACCCCCCTTCACGGAGGAATCTGAGCTTGGAATTCGCAAACCACTACTTCCATTAAGACGAAGATTCCCTTTGCAACCTGTTCCTCTTCATTTACCTTTAAAACCACAATATAAAAGTACCTTTGAAAAAAGAGAAACCCACATGACCGAGGAAAGCATGCAAAAAACGAACAAATGCCCCCCCCCCCTCGGACCTGCAAACCTGTCCCTACAAGGAAGCCTCGAATCCGGGATTTGCGAAGCCAACCAGAATCTGAGCAGCTTGTCTCCTTTTGGGAAATGGGCCCAAAACCTGTTTGGCCCGAATCCTTCCTTTAGATGATTTGCAGGGAATAGTGAGTGGAGCATGCTATCGGACACTGGCCTCTTTGAACACGAGGGGTGTGCCCATCACACTCCCCAAATAGGTGCACAAGCAAAAGAGCGCCAAACCCCAGCAAACAAATACCGCCAAGAAAAGACAGATGTAACAACCTGCAGGACCAAACATAAAGACTACAAAGTCACTAGCAAAAACTAGCATGTAGAGAAACCGGAGTCCCCCGCTTTCTCAACAGCAAGCAGGTTCCAACCCAAAACCACGGCAATTTCCCAGGCAATGTTACCCCCCCGAAGAAGAAAAGAAACTTGCTGGTGCTCAGTAGGGAATGAGAAATGGAGTGATCCCTATAAACCATCCCGTGGCTTCCTTCAAGGGAATCCCAAAACGGTTCATTCCCTCATTCCCTACTTTTGACACAGAGCAAAAAACAAAGAAACATGTCCCAGGCAAAGTTCCCCCCCAAAAAAAACACACGCACACACAGACCAAAAAGAAAATGAAGAAGAACAAAAAGCGAGCAAGAAACCCCCCCCCCCCCAACACATTCCCGGCTTGCAGGACACCTTGACGGCGCTGGACATGTGCACCATCCCCGGGCGGCGGCTGCTGCTCATTAGCAGCTTGGCCCCTACGGCGCAAGGGCCGTGCCAGGCTTGCGTCCCCGAGACCCTCAGCCGCCGGAGCTGTCGGATCTTTCGCTTTCGCGCGGAGCTTTCGCATTTCGGGTTTCAGATCGATCGGGGGCGGGGCGACGCGTTTTTTCGACTGGTCGGCCGGGGGGTGGAGCGACGCGTTTCCTAGGTCCTCCAAATTTGAGAGGTTAGAAGAAGAAGTTGGTAACCGACTTCTTTTTTCTGTAGTCTATTTTAGGGGAACCCTCCCCCAACAAGGGGTAAAAGGGCACTACTGGGGGACCCAGTTTCCTTTCGCAAAACCAAAAGGCGCAAAGGGCTCCCAAGAAAGAGGGTAAGAGGGTTTCCCTTTGGTTTCCCTTTGGTTTCCCTTTGGTTTCCCGTTTTTGTTTCGGCTTTCTCTCTTTCTGTCCTTTCTTTTTTGTTGGGGGGGGGGGGTTCTGGCATGTTGGGCGAAGGTGAGAGGAGCATGTGTTTTGGCTGAGCACTTGATTTCTGCGTTTGGTCTCCAGTTTGGGTGACTTCCTTTAGGTTCCATCCCCGTGAAACCGACGACTGAAAAGCTCAACAATTCATGACACACCCACAACTGGGTGTGTATTTTTTTGGGGGGAACCTCTTTAAAACCCCAGAAGAAAAAAAAAGGATTCCGGGATACACCGAACTTCCTGGAGACCTGCTTCGGATTTCCGGGGCTTGTGCGGAGCTTCACCGCGGAGCTGTTGGGTTCTCAAAAGGGACCAACGTTCTCAAAAGGTTGTCCGTTCAAACAAATATATTTAAAGAATGCCAATCAAAAGGGGGGGGAATCCATTTTGAGAAACCCCCCATTTGAGCCCATGCAGTGGCCCATGCAGAAAAAAAAACACTTTAAGCCGAATTCTGGCCAGAAAACACCTCGAACACCAAAGCCCGAATGTGGGCCTATGGACCCCAAACGCCAAAGAAAAAGAAAGAAACACGAAAATCCGAAACCCCAAAACTCCAAAGCTCCGGCACCGGAGAAGAAAAAAAAGGAAACACGAAACGCCAGGAACAAAAAAGCAAACAACGAAACGCCGGGAGAAAAAACATGGAGGAAAACCACGGAGAAAAAAAAAAAAAAACGACTCCACGCCGCGGCGCGGGAGGTTCATCGGGGCCAGCATCCCCAGATCCACCCCGAGGTGAAGAAGCAGAGGCGGCTGCTGCGAGAGCGCCCAGCGGCTCAACAACTGGCCCATGCCTCAGGCATTCCGGATTCCGGTTTCGCTCGTCTGGCTCCCCCCCAAACGCCGGCCCAACCAGATGGCCATGGGCTTTTCAAAATCCGGATCGGTTAGCCCCCAGTAACATCCCAATCCCCACTGGAATAGGTTCTAAAATGGGTGTTGCACCTACCCCAAAATGCCACCATTGGTTTTGACCCACAGCCAGATCTGCTGGGATCAGTCGATGGTTGCCCTTGTTGCAAGGTTGCAAGGGGCAAGCAGATCAATTCTGCCAAATGGCCAAAGTCTGCTTTAAGAATTTGGAACCCCAAACGGCGCAATGGTATCCCTGTTGGTTTCCCTTGACAACCCACCAAAGACGGGTACCCTCCAAAGAGTCGGGTACCCATCTTGAATTCGTGGATCGCTCAGGACGAGACCCAAGGTCACTTCCGCTTTGCCGCTTTGCCCCACATCCATCCTGTGAAGTACCCTCAGTCCACGCCGCCACCGGAACCCAGGCTTTGAAAGGATTATGCTCCTCCAGGACCCCGGCCAGGTTCCATGTTAGTTGACTGGAGGCTAAGCGTCCCGCCAAAGCTGACTCTTTGACAAGCCGATTGATGGAAGCCAACTTGCTGGATGAAACCCGGATTGGCAAATCTCAAACTTGGAAATTCGGTCAACACGCAAAGGTAGCGGATGAAGTTCTAAAGGAGCACAACACATCAGCCTGGCAGCCCCAATTTCCAGCGCGCAAAATGACTCCCAGAAGTGGATCCTGCACTCTTTTCGGGAACTCCTCTTTAGCAGGAATCATAGTTGCTAAGCCTCGCTTGAAATGTTACAAGTTTAAATTTGAGGTAAAGAGAGGAATGCCAACAACGGAACAGGGCTTTGACATGAAAACGGTGGCTGAGTTTATGAATCCGAAAAAATATCGCATCCCTTCACAGCACCAACAAGACCCATGGCCCAACTCAATGTCCAACCACCCCAACCCCCACAACCCTCAGCCCCAAACATGTATTGTGTCTGTATTCTTGAGTTTACTTCTCATTCTCGTCATGTCCCACAACCGCGCCCCAACTCCCCCCCAACTCCCCCCCAACTCCCCCCCAACTCCCCCCAACTCCCCCCCAACTCCCCCCCAACTCCCCCCCAACTCCCCCCCAACTCCCCCCCAACTCCCCCCCAACTCCCCCCCAACTCCCCCCCAACTCCCGCAGCCACCATCCCAGGCACGGGTCATGGAGTCCGCCTTCCCACCACTCAGCACCCCGTTGGTTGCGTCCATCGCCAGCACCTTTGCCTGGAAGTAGCTCGCCTCAAGTGCCAGCCCGCGCCCAGCGCCAGGCGCCAGGCGGCTCCCCGGTGATTCGGTGGGGCTCGGGTGGAAAGGGCTCGCCCCAAGGAAAAACCTCTCCAACCGGATGGTTTCCTAAGGGGACCAATTTTGGGGTTCATTCCCAGATCCCCTATCGCACTCACGCAATGAATGTGACTGGGCTCCAAAAAAAAGCCAAACCTCCGGGGGCTGATTCCATTCCCCATTCTCTTCAACCATCGTTCTTTTCAAACACCAGCTGTTTCCCCTGGGGTTCTGATGGTTTTCTGGAACAAAGGATCCCTGGACAGAATGGGGAAGTGTCCCCTAGAGTGATTTGGTGGTTTGGTGGTTAAGGGGGGGAAACCCCAAACAATCCCCGGGCGACGTCTAAGGAGGGGGAAATCCCAGTGGCTTTTTGCCTTGAGACAGGGTTTCAAATCCCCAAACCACCAATCCAACCCACCAACTAGGGGTAGCCTGAGAAAAGGGACCGAACAAGCCAAGGGAAACCCAACCCACACCAACCTACCAACCTGCCAACCTACCCACCTAAGGCAAAATACCCCCTTACCAACCTACCCAATGTACCAACCTACAAACCTAAGACAAATACCCACCTGCCCAGCTACCAACCTACCAACATACCAGCATGCCAACATACCAAGCTAATAAACCCCCTACCAACCGACCAACATACCTGCCCATCAACCTGCCAACCCACCAACCTGTTTCCCTTCAGCCTCCAAGTCAAGCCCTGGCTGCCTTGTGGAGAAAGGCAACCGACCTGAATCTGAAATCATTGAACGCCTGCTGACTTGCCCAAAGGACGTGAACAGGTGAACCTTTCTGGGTCACTGAAACTTGACCAAGCGGAAAGCGAAAGGTCAACAGGTCGACTTTGGGCAACCCTTCACGAGACCAAACTCGCTGCTTGTTTTGCGGCAGCGGAAGACCCTTTCAAAGCCAGAAACGAGGGTCAGAAACTGTCCCTAAGTAAGGGGGAAAAAACGAGAAACAAAAACACACACAACAAAGAACACGAAAATTGACCTTTCCCGACATAATCTTTAAAGCCACCCTTTAAAGGGAGAAGCCACCTTAAGGATAGACAGAGTTGGCACGAGACTTCAGCCTTCAGCCTCCCACGGCTCGAAGCCTAAGCCGAATTCCCGTGAAGGTGGGGCAAAATAAACTCTATGTGCCCATACTTGCAACCAAACCAAGCTGCTCCCCTTTCGGAGTCCTTTCTTGCGGAAAAACTTTGGGATGTGCATCTAGCCGCCCCAGCTTGGTGAGAGTGTGGGTGCCCTTTAAAACCCAAATCAAAAGTCATCAAGACACAGGCACCTGGACCCTCAAACTACCCCTAAACAAATGTCAAAAAGGGACTTCACCCTACAACTGTGGTAGTTTGAGGGTCCGGCCCTCCCCCTAACATGGTGGCCTGCATTCTGGTCGCCCTTCAAAACCACAAAAATAAAGGCACCATCTCTCAAAACCCAGACAGACCCATCAAAATCATCTCTGGTTTGGTGGTCTGGTTTTCCATGAACCCTGTACAAGAACCAGGGGTTCAAACCCCGGTCGGCTTCTTCAACCCAGAATATCATCTCTCGGATTCGAATTTCTCGGATTTCTCAAAAGAAAAACAAACAAAAAACATCTCTCAAAAACCAGCCAGACCCATCAAAATCCTCTCTCGGATTCGCTCCGAATTTCTCATCGCCTGCAGTGTGATCTGGTGGTGCAGCTGCAGGAGCTGCTCGGACTGCACCGTGTCGGCGCACTCTTTGGCGATCGACCAGGCCAAGCAGCACCCGCTCTCCTCGCCACCAAATCTTCGGAGTGTGGGGCGCGCAGTGCGTGTTTGAGTGGAGATGTCAACCCTTTGATGCAACCCTCTTGCAACATGGCTTCAAGATCCCTTTTGGAGATCAACCTCCTTTGGTTGGGCATCAACCCTTCTTCGGAGTTGATTCTTCATGTTGGGTTTGGTTAGAAGGTAAACCAAGAGGAAAACGTTAAATCATTTTTCAAGAGGGTTGATGTCCAACCATGTGTTTCAACCATCCTTCGTTTCAGAAACAGATCGCTGTTTCCCTGGGCCTTTGGTTCTTGATTCAGATGGAAAGAATGGTCGGAGGCCTCGGGGATTGATGGAAACTCGGGGAGTCTTGGGGAAGCTTCCCCGAAATGGCTAACGGAGAACATGCCCCCACACACACACATGCTTTCTTGGGGGTGAAAGGGGGAAGCCCCATGGGGAAAAAAAAACTGATCCCAAGTCTGGAGAGGAACCTTTCTTCGCGGCCATCATGCAGCACCTGCTACCAGAGCGCCAAACAATCAAAGGATCACCCGCGTTGGGGGGCGGGTCTTAGAACAGGAAGACCAAGCCCAAAACCCATGTGGCTTTTCCGATTGTGTCGGGGACCCCCGAAAATGGTTTCGGGCGTCCTTTCGGCTTCCCAAAAAAAAACGAAAAAAGGTGGCCTCAACAAAGACACCCCCACAAAGGACAACTACACCGACAAAGTCATGGAAAAGGCGACGGACCGTCTTGCCAAATTAGAGGGATGCCAAAGGAAACCCAATCGATTCAAGGGGTCTTCAGTGTTTCGCTGAAACAGAGAGACCCTTCTTCCCACTCAAAAACCATTGATTTGGACAGCCAACAAAAATGACTTGACACCCGATTCTGTTTGATTTGAGTCCGGCTGCCGCAAAAATGGTGGACGGGTCCCGTTTGAGTGCCAGAACATGAACTGCCTCGTTGTGCTTCACGATAGGGAAACTCGGCGGCTGCAAGATGTTCCACTGACATGGAGAAAACACCTAAGGCTTCAGAGCTCTCGACTCCACGAAACCGAAAACGCCTGGCGCTTAGGTGGCAAAAAACAAACCGCCGTGAAAAGTGACTATGGCACACACGGTGTCCATTGGACGCAAAGCACATGGAACCCTCGAATTTCGGGAGGCTCCCACTGGAAGTCGTGCTCCATCGGTTTCTTTGGTTTCTTCTGAACCGCGAGGTCTCAGCCAGGCTGAAGCTGGCCCCAACGTCAGGGAAGACCATGGATGTCGGCTTACACCAAAGTCACAAAGTCTGGCAATTGGCCCAAGTGGATCTTTGAGAATACCACTGAAAAGTGCGAGGCTTACCCTTGGCATTTGGGAGTGGCCTCCTTTTTTGGAGTTGGTACCCCTTGGTTGGTGGTTCTACAGGGAAAATAACAAGGAAAACCGTTGTGCCCTTTTTATCCAAACAAAAAAGTACGCATGAAGCCCAATGATTTCCCAAAAACCAGCGTCACACCAGTGATTTTCCGTTTCTTGAGCCAAAGCCATTAACGTGTGTGTGTGTGTATATATATATATATTATATATATAATATATATATATATACATACACATATTTTGGTCCCCCCCCCCCGCCGCCCACAAAAAAACAAAAAACAGAGGCAGGCGCGCCCATTTCACCCCTCTCAGCGCGCTGCCAGCGCGCTCGCGTGAGCAAATTTCTCTCCTCTCTGCCGCTGGGCAGGCTCGGCACGGCCACGGCGCGCTGCGCCGGCTTGAAGAGGTGCTCAGTGTGATCCACCGCCTCGGCGTGAAGCGCCAAGGAAGCGCGACCGGCTCACCTTTGGGGAGATGCGCAGAGGGGGGCCTTTTAGGGGAAATAGATGGGTTTCCCTGGTAGATGATGAAACCACCAGGTAAATCAGGAATCGCCATCCATTTTTCGAGCAAACCATTCTTAGAGGGTCCCTTGGTACCTAAGAAGTTACTGAACGACCCCTTTTTACCCCCCAAAAGCCATCCTCGGGAGGTACTTGGACCCTCTGGGCTTGTTAGGGAGATGCGGGTGTGGCTGAAAACGCAGTGTTACCCTCCCTCCCACTAACAGAAGGCACCTGTGGGAGGGTACCTGGAAGATAATTGT